GGACTAGAAAAGGTATGATTACTGAAAAGCTAAGACAAAAATCACGAGAAGAAGCAACTACAAGATATGCCTTGGAATAACTGAGAGCAACCTGGTGTGGGATATCAAGATTTGGCCATCCTAAAATATATCTCTTTACCTTCATTGTTTTCTCTGAGGGACATTTGACCTCCCCCACTAACTGCCTAAAGAATTTGACATGGTGGCTCCTTCCTGGGACAGATTTTCTATCATGATGGCTGTAAAGATAATGTAGGATAAATGTTACAATAGGAAAGGCACCAACAAGCCCATCTTATCGGAAGTTCTGTCTCTCTGACCACATTCTCTGGATGCCCCTGCGAGGAGTTGCCAGACAATCATTTACATTTATAAGGGAAGTCTCCATTTGTAAAGGTATCTCCCTTTCTGTATTGGGAAAAGGGGGGATGACCTCATTTCTAGAAACTTATCAATGTGGAAGTTGGGGCCTTAAATCTGCATAATAACCTTACTCTTGTTTACTGTGCTTTAGTGGTAATCTCCTGTAACTGACTTCCCCCACCCCCAACATCTTCCTTTGTCATTGGCTGAACATGGTATTTAAGACGAGAATTTCTGCTATTGTGTTGAGAAACGCAGTGTCCCTGCTTTCTCCCGTGTATACGTTATTAAACTTGGTATTATTTTCTCCTGCTAACCTGTCTTGTTAATTTGGCCAGCCATAAGAACCTTAAGGGAAAGGGCAGAGAGTGATTCCCCCTCTTCCCCAGACACTGGCATAGCTGGAAAAGCATGGTAGGCTCTGAAGTCTGACAGCTCAATTCACATCTCACCATGACCACCTGGTACTTAGGATATTGAAGAAATTTCTTAATCACTATACAAATCAGTTTCCTCATTTGTAAGGTGAGGATGAGAATTCCTACTTTGCCGGGTTGTTATAAGGATTAGAGGTAATGGACAAGTTTCCTTCTTAGCAGTGTATTCATTATCTGAAATCCTGTAGTCATAAGGCTGTGTACGGATGCAAAATTCCTCGCATCACAAAAACATTCACTAAAGAACTAATCTCTTATAAAATTAATATCCATTCAAACACTTTCCCTAGTCTAACACTAACATCTTCCTCAGGTTATGTTTCTAATTATTTGACAATCTTTAGCTGATTATTTGAAGTTACAAGCTCTCATGCGATTACAGTGATCATTGATAATGAATTAATAATGCACACCTTGTGAAGGTGCAGGATTTCATGAAGTAAATAAAAGTGATAATGAAGAATTGGAGAGGCTGCAGAGTATAGACCAGTGCAAATTCCATGGATTCAAATACTTGATTCTCCAGTTACTAGATTTCATAACCTTGAGCAAGTACCTCAACTTTTCTGTTCCTCAGATTCCCCATCCACACAATGGAAATAATACTATCTACTACAAAGATTTGTTATGAGGATTCAATAAGGGTAATATTTGCAAAGTGCTTAGCACAATAATGGGTAAATCATAATAAACACATGAGTGTTTATTAAGTAAAAATAAAAACAAAATAACTGCACAACAAAGCCATTTAAAAATGAAGTAGAATGCTTAGAAACTGAAGAAAACCCAGAAGGGTCTTGACAGGGTAGAAACAACAATAAACAATGACTTGAATATCATGGCGGATGAGAAGCCTTTGTGAAAATGGACGAAGTCCTAGATTTTTATCATACACGAAAAATGACCATGTTTGTTATTGGGCTGCTAAAATCAAAGATGAGCTTCTGGTAGCTGGCCTTCTAGATGGCATCCAGCGAGCCCCACCTCCTGGTATTCACACCCTTGTGTGATTCCCACTTCCCACATTGTATGAGGTTTGGTCTGTGTTACCAAGAGCAGAAGGGATGGTATGTCCCTTTCAAGATTAGGTCATAAAAGATACTACTGCTTCCATCTTAGTCATCTCTTGCCCATTCTCTCAATCTCTCTAATCACTCACTTTGGAGAAACACGGTTGTCATGCTACAAGCAGCCCTCTGGAGAGCTCAGGTGGTAAGAACCTAAGGCTTCTGTCCAAAAGCCTGAGAAGAACTAAGGACTCCCGCCAACAACCATGTGAGCTTGAAATCAAATCCTCCAACCCTGTCAACCCTTCTAACTACAGCCACTTTTGACAGCTTGTCTGCTGCCCCATGAGAGAGCCCGAGCCAGAACCACCCAGCTAAGCCATTGCCAGATACCCACCCCAGGACCTGTGTGAGATAAGAAATGTTAGTATTTTTAAACTGCTAAGTTTGGGGTTACTGATATACAGTAATAGATAATTAATACAGGAGTGAAGGAAGCCTCATCTGCTATTTTGAAAATTTAATGAAAAAAATTACTCCTCCCATATAGATGCTATTTATAGGCTTTATTCAAAAAATTAGCAGATACTTGTAACTTTCACTTTCAAGATAAGAGCCTTTCAAGCCACTTTGTTTTTTACTATTTAATAGATCATTTTGATTCCCCTTTAACTAACCTACAAAGATGTACACAATCTGTGTACTGCTTCTCTCATCTTCTACTCTCCCCCTTTCTCTCCACTCCATCCACACTGACTTCTTTTATGTTTCAAGCACATGCCAGGCATACTTCCACCTCAAGGCCTTTGCATTGACTATTCCTTCTCTCTTAGTTTCTCTTGCCCCAAACATCTGAATAGCTCACTCACACCTCCTTCAATCTTTGCTCAAATGCCTCCTCTTAGGGAAGTCTATCGCAAACACCTTGCTTAAAATTGCAACCCCACCCCCACTCTGCTGACTCTCCTTATCCCATTTTACTCTTCCATAACACTTTTACTAATTTTATTGTAGCTCTCCCCATTGGATGCAGGCTCTATGAGGGCAAGGATTTTTGTCTCTTTTGTCACTTCTGTGCTCATGTATCATCATTACCTAGAACAATGCCTGGCCACATAATAGGTACTCAAAAAATCTTTGTTGATGTGAGTTTAGGAAGTAAATTTGGTTCAAATGGCTCTTTTATAGCACCAATTACCCTGGGGTAAGGATGACTTAAATTTAAATTTCTGACTCAGTAGGTTGTCAATAAACAGAAGCGATGATCTGAAAGCAAACCTCCATTTAGAAATAAAAAGTGTTAGCTTGAGTGACTTACAAGAAAGAGCTAGGTGCAGAAGAACGACCGAGGTTGAGATGAACATTGATTTGTGAACTTATTATCTAAATTAAATCTTTATCATCACACATTCTAAGAGCAAGGTATCTCATCATACATGCATTTAAAAAGACTTCCATGTCTTTCCTCTGAATACTCAGAACAAATGTACATTATTTTTATTAACAATTTTGCATCAGAGAATAGTATTACTCACTGCACCTAGGTAAAAACTAAAGCTATAAGTCAGATGGTGGTTCTAAAAAGTCTAAGAGGGCTATGACATCAATTTTGAAGACTTATGGAAGTCTTGGCAAGAAGAGATTATAACAAAAAGGCCCAGTAAAGATTCTTTCATGGATGCGTGGCCTGTGCAGTCACAAGGGACCCTGTGCTTAGAAAGGGCTCATCACGTGGTTTAACGCTCTGCTGTTGTTATCTTGAAATTCTCAGTAATTTATGAATAAGGGGCCTCCATTTTCATTTTACACTGGGAGCAGCAAATTACATAGCTGGTCCTGAGGCCCAGAGAAGACAACATTACTCAGCTACTACTCACTGTCCAAGGATATAAGCAGAGGTGGAAAGACCAGAAAAGCATACAGAATTTTCTCTGAGGTAGATACTCCAGCCCTCTTCCCATTTCCCCCTGAAGGAGGAGAATTGGAGAAACAGCAGCAGTGGTATACTGCTTACTACTCAAAGTGTGGCCTGTGCCACCAGCAGCAACAGCATCCCTGGGAGCTTGTGAGAAAAGCAGAATCAGGACCCACTCCAGGCCTACTGAACCAGAATTTGCATTTCCTGTGTGCTTTAAATTTGAGAAACGCAGCTGTGCTGTTCCCAGAGCCACCCAGGACACCTGTGATAATAGACATCTGAAGTCTCTTGATCTCCTTCAAGGGGACCTTCTCCACTTCCACCAGAAAATCCTTCCCCTGAGATGCTGCTAGATTGAGAAGTCAACTGATTTGGACATTACTTTTGTTCCTTCTGCAGTCTTCTCTAGGAGTGGGTTAATATGCAGTGAAATGGTTTGAAAAAAATACAAACAAGGATAAGAAAGTATGAAGAAAGGGTTATTATGAACTAACCTGAGCAGGTGGAAAGCAGTGTAACGACAATAAAATGAGGAGAAAAAGCTACCTTAAAAATAGAATTAATAGATAACACTGAGCACTTAAAATGTGCCAAGCATCTTACAAACTGTTTTATGTGGATTATTTTATTTAAATTTCATCAAAACTCAAGAAGTATGTGCTATGTCTAATCTTCTTTTGCAAATGGAAAAACAGACTTCCAGAGAGTGTTGATATGGTCATAATATAATAAATCAAGAAATTGTGTATTATTTTCACAACTGTAAATTTTTGTTAACGTATTTCTAAACATCTGCTGAAAGAATGAATGTTTCTGTGTAACTTCACAACATTATTTCAGAATTATGTCCTGAATGTTAGGGACCCTTGCACAAGGAACAGGATTAAGGTCAAGTTAAATTCAACTACTGTCGGAATCTTTCAATTTGAGATAAAAGGAAGAAAAATAAAGGACTTAATTCTGGAGGGGCAGATCACACAATAGTTTGTATTTTCACGTAACTGTATGAAGAAGGACGCTCAGGCTTTTCTTTAATAGATGGGGGATGAAACCAGAAAGCACGTGCTCTTATGCCTGATGCTTCCACAAAACAACAGCGAGGAACCCAATAGTTTTCAACCAACCAGGTAGATTCCCAGGTACAGAGTGATGGGGGCTCAAGGAGCGTCAGAGTCTCCGGACGCTGCACCCCACTCGGCTGCTCCCGCCCCCTAAACCCCGGGAGGGGGCGGAGCGGAGGAATCGAAAGAGAAAGCGGGCGGAGGCGGGCGGCCGCGGGCTCGGCGCCGGGATGGAGCCGCGGGCGCTGCGGCGGCTCTGGCTGCTCTGCTGCTGCTGCTGCTGCTGCTGCTGGGGCCGCGGCGCGAGCTCCGGCGCCACCTTCCCCCGGATCTGGCCGCGGAGCCGCGAGCGACAGGCAGCCGCCTTCCGGGTACCGAGCGCGCGCGCGCGCCTCCCTGTTTCGTTGTCCTTGTCGCCCCCTCCTGTCCTGGGTGTGGGCTAGGGCATAGGGGCCACCGAGAGCTGCCACTCCTGGAGGTCACCTGGCCCCGCGGCTCTGTGATGCGTCTGGGATTTCTGAACGGGGTTTACACAAGCGATCTTCTCCCCGGTTCCCCACGTGCCAGGGTGTTGCCCTCTTCCGTGACTTTGCTAACCACAAGAGTTGATTTTTCAGGAAGGATTTGTTGCTGTGGATTTAAATGACGCGCCCAAAGTCATCAATAGATCTGTCCAAAGTATTCTTGATAGGGAGAAGCACGGCCTTTTAGCAGTTACCCTGATGGTTCTCACTGCCTTCCAGAGCTGTTCCATTTCACATTTACAGGAACCAGAAATAGGAGGAAGAAATGTGTCATTTTTCTTCCGGAGAGGGGCGCTGGTATCCCCCTCCTGTAATCAGAATTTTCTAAACAAAGAGCCTGTATTTAGCAAGCTCAGAGAATCTTGCCCATTTGTGATCTTCCTGAACTAGTGCTGAAACTAGTGCTGAAACTAGTGCTAGGCTTCCAAAGCTCTTCTTGACTTGGTGGAGACTGATTTAAAGAAAGGGGAAGCATTTCATTTCCGTTTCAGATTCTTTTGAAAAGGCTTCATAGTAATGCTTAGATTTTACCCTAGCATTAAAACTCTGGAATGGACCAGTTAGCTGAGAAGAAATAGTTTTTCCTGAAACCAAGGAAACTGCAAGAGATATCAATTTAGAGTTTGCTGCACTGTGTTCTATATATATGATACTACTAAATTTTTTTTAATCATAGAAGATATCATCATGATTTAATTTATTATAAGAGAAAATTCATGGGGGCTGGCCCCGTGGCCTAGGGGTTAAGTGTGTGTGCTCCGCTACTGGCGGCCTGGGTTCAGATCCCAGGCGGCACCAACACACCACTTCTCCCGCCATGCTGAGGCAGCGTCCCACATACAGCAACTAGAGAGATGTGCAACTATGACATACAACTATCTACTGGGGCTTTGGGGAGAAAAATGGGGGAAAAAAAAGGAGGAGGATTGGTACTAAATGTTAGCTGAGGGCAGGTCTCCCTCAGCAAAAAAAGAAGAGGATTGGCATGGATGTTAGCTCAGGGCTGATCTTCCTCAGCAAAAAAAAAAAAAAAAGAGAGAAAATTCATTCATTCTGACTCAAAAATAAGTATGAATTTAATAATATTGCTTATTGGAATTTATTTATTATTTTTCCTGATTTTTCTTGAGATTTCCCATGGGATTCTATAGCTGTGGTCTTTTCTCCTCCTCCTCTCTCCCCTGGAAAGCTCCACTGTTTAGGAAATCCCTGCCTTGTCTGATTCGGTCCATTCTTATTTTTTGCCCAAACCAAGATGTGTACTTTTATCTCCATTTTATTGCTCTTGAGTTCCGTTCTAGCTTTCAAAACCAGAGGCATTGGTACAGTTGCTTGAGAACAAAGTGTCTGTCTTGTATTCTACTCCTGTCCTGAGCTTGGTTGCATACAGTGGTGAATCAAATCCCTTAGGGAGAAAATAGTCAGTCTCCCCTATACTGATAATGTGCTCATTGGCTGATAAATAAACATGCTGCTATGCTCCTCAAAAATGTCATATTTGAAGATTGGAGGCACAAGGGGCCAGAGTAATAAATATGTTTTTAACATATGTAATTTATATAATTTATATTTATATTATATGGTGATTCATATCGGTCCTGTGAAGAGGCCATACCCAGGAGTTGAATGTCTAGAAAATACAACTCTTCTTGGAGAAATACAAGAATCCAGGCTGGGAGATGGAAAGTTTTAAGTGAAGGAGGATGAGGTTATGAAGATTCTTAGTACATTTTAAAAACCTTGAGTTGAGAAAGCCTGAAAAAGTTTTCAAAGCGAATGCTCTAGTGGGAGTTTACTTCATGAAATGGATGCCCAGAAAGGAGAACGTTTAGGCTTCAAAACACAGTAGCTGGAAACTCTGAACACCTCTTAGTGTCTGAATCTAGATGGCTGTTTGGACCTGGAGTAGAGCTGGACACAGGCAAAGATAGAAGGGGCCTTGCTTCCTTGGTACCCATGAGCATTAGGAAAAATTCTGGTCTGGCAGGATGGATTATAGTGTGTGGTAACTAAAACTCAGCATAACTCTAGAAAGCTCTATCTCTATAAAATTATGTCGAATTATCAATTGGTTGAGACTCTCCTCTATTTACCTATCAGGTAAATTATGTACAGAATCTAGAAAATTTCCTTGCTCCATAATGAAGTTAAAGTTAAGAAAATAAAGTTTAAGAGTTAAGACGGAATTGTAAAGCACACTGTGTTATGCTAGAGAGAATCGATAGACTATGGCATGAAAAGGAGACAAACACTGAGGACCAAGAGCTATAGTCTTTGGATCTTGGTATCTTATTTAGGGATAGCAAATAGGTCTCATCATGGTTGCAAACTGATTGATTAATAGTGGCTGCCTGGAACATGGTGTTGAGAAGTATTCAGAGGATTGCAGCTGGAGACACAGTTGGGGAAAGTGCCTGATTGATTAGTAATGTCTTTCATAGTCATGGGTTCAGAGAATGGAGCATACATTGCCTCAATGGAAATATATCATAAACTTGAAATCTTGGGTTGGAATTAATTCATTCATTTGCCCGTCTGTCCATTTATTCAATACTTTAACATTTACTATGTATGAGGAGCTGGTCTAGGTTTTCTGAGTAATTCAATGAATAATAAGATATGTACTGACCTCTAAGAAACTATAGTCTAATAAATGAATATTGTTATGTTTAAACATTGTACTATAATCCATTTTCCAGTGATCAAACAGAAGAATATAAAGACTAGTACACTAGAAAAATAGATTGCCTCAACCAGTTCAGAAAAGAATCTTTTTAATTCAGTGTTTATGTGCATACACACACACATAAAAAAATATGACTACACATTTCTTATTATTTTACTTTGCATAGTAAATATATATGAGTATTATTTATTTATTTATTTTGTGAAGAAGAGTAGCCCTGAGCTAACATCCATTGCCATTCCTCCTCTTTTTGCTAAGGAAGATTGGCCCTGGGCTAACATTCGTGCTCATCTTCCTCTACTTTATATGTGGGACGCCTGCCACAGCATGGCTTAATAAGCGGTGCATAGGTCTGCACCCGGGATCTGAACCTGCGAACCCCGGGCTGCCGAAGCGGAGCGCAAACTTAAACGCTATGCCACCTGGCCGGCCCCTATGAGTATTATTTTTACACAGACTTCAGCACAACATGTATAATGTGCTCTGTCTAAGAAACTTTCCTAAGGCAGTAATTTATAAAAGTATATCCTATGACAATTTTTTCTTGTCCTAATACAGGGCTTTTTAACAGTGGCACTATTGACATTTTGGAATGGGTAATTATTTGTTGTGGGGGCCTGTCCTGTGCAGTGTAGAATGACTAGCAGCATCCTTGGCCTTTGCCCACTAGATGCCAGTCGCATCCCCCCCCCAGCATGATAATCAAAAATGTCTCCAGACATTGCCAGTGTCTTTGGGAGGGGAGTGGGGGAAAGAACGGAGAGCACCCTCAGGTGAGAAGTACTGAGCTAAGGTTTACAACTCCCAAGTCTTGAGAGAAATTCTCAGCAAGGCTGCAACATTGTATACAAATATTTTACCTTTTTTGCTCATCCCTGGACATACTGCAACTTTCAGAAACTAAAGCAAGGAGAACATTTTAAATCTGCATGTAAAATTTATGATTTATTTTACACCAAATTGCAGAATCTGCAAATGAGGACTGTTAAAAGTTGAAGGAACAGAAGTGAAAGACAATGAGTTCAGAGTGCTGGAAAAAGTGATCTTACAAACTATCTTTGCTTCTCTAGTAATTTCCATATGCAACTTATCCCATCGATGCTTAGGATTCATGATGAAGGAACACACACACCATATTAAGTGCAAAATAAATCAGCATTAATAGATGAAAACCGAGATACCAATGGGAGAAGATATCAAATTCTCACTGCCTTCTCAGCTAATAAAAGAGACCTGAAGTCTCTTCAAGTTTATGTTCCTTTTGAGGGTTTCCTAGGGACTGACTTAGCCCCACCCCCTCCACCAAGTATTAGCAGTGGTGTGCCCTTAGGCAAATTACTTAGCTGCACCTCAGTTTTTTCATCTGCCAAGTGGAGTAATATTAGCAATTACCTTTTACAGAGTTAATTTAATTCATATAATAAAGCACCTAGAAAAAATACTTGCATTCAATTTGATAATCTCTTCAACTGTATATATTTAGTGTGCCCAGTAGCTAAGAAATTTATTTTTAGAGCCCAAGAATTTGGTCTTAAAAGATTTACTCCTGTAGAAACAGTTGAGTACGTGCAAGAAGAAAATGCATTACTCAATTTATTCTTTCTTAGTGTCAATCTATGAAAAAGATTTTACTGGTTTTTCTCCTCCAGGGGGTAGAGTACGTACTAGGAAATAGCTGGGAACCCCCACCACCACCCAGAAACCATGGGTTTTTGCTTTTACATCTTTTTCAAAATGACCATTTCCCTCTCTATTTACCCCAAACAGAGCAACTTCTGAGACAATTGTTATCCATAATTAGTGAGTTAGGGGAGTTAAGATGCTTGGGATGGAAGGAAGGGTTTTCTAATCCTATAAGAAAAATGTTGATCTCTGAAGAATTTTAAAACTCCAGACTAATCTCCCCATGAGACTGGTTCAGGTCTCTTATCAATAGTTATCTTTTATTATTATCAGACTGAAACAATCCTGTTTCTTGTTTTCAGCAAACATTGCCCTTCCTTTCTGTTTATGGGTTGGTAAGAACTACAGAGAATTAATGAAATATCCTAGCTAGGCCAGCAAAGCGGCAAATTAGAATACAAAAGAGACTGCTTAGAAACTTATTACATTTAAATCCTTGGTTGGAATGTTCGCACACACATGCGCACACACACATGCGCACACTCACAGAGGCAACTTTACAAGAGATTCCAGTCTTTAGAAGGATGGCTGGCTATTAGAAGTCATAATAAAGGAAGCTTCAGGGACAGTGCCCTAAGGTATGATGTTGATTAGAGAGATTTAGGACACACAATATCTATTAATGTCAAAAGGACATGTTTTCCCTATATTTATCATCATAGGATAATTTCCTCAAGTTCTTTGGCCCTGGATCCCCTTCCTTGTTAACTCATTCAAGTAAGCGCATTCGATTACAATAAAACAAAACAAAAAAAATATGTAAAGATAATCATTTTTCACCAGATCTGTTTAAAGGCTATTTTGATTTATTGGCTCTAATTTTTCTCATATATGATCCATCTGTTTTCAAACATCTGCACTTTTGAAAGCTACTAATGATGTTTCCTGTATATTCTTCAAAACTTTACATCTTTTCTTACATAAATGAAATTAAAGTTCAGATCTTTCATTTTAGTATTTCATATGGCTCTAGGGATATTTACTATACAATGGATCACTATTATATCTTGTATTGCCTTACATTCAGAACATATGCTATGGATCCTTTATCTACGGTTGATTCTGTGACAGAGGCCGTTAACATGATGAGGAGCAGGCGCTCAATATAGGCTCACAGTTTGTGATGCTTCCATGAAATCTGCTCTAACAGCAAGAATTGAAGTAGACCAGAAGAGTCACTTGACAGAATGGATAATTCCAGAAATGAAATACAGGGCTTTTTACAATTTAAATGACTTGAAACCACTGTTAGGTGGACTTGATATGCATCCTACTGTTATAGCAAATGGCAGAATAAATATTCTTGGATTACTGATATTTTTCTATGAAAGCAATCTGTTGCTTTCAATAGATAATTGGTCATCTCTAATTCCATGACAAAGATTTGCTCCCCAGTAACCCAAGGAACCCTGAAAGCCTGATCTTTGAATGACGTTTTCTGTAATCCACATGTTCTATGTTTAAAGGAAAAAAAGGATATAGCATGAGAGTATTTAATAGAGCATGTTTCTGTCAGAGACTGGAATATTTGTTTTCCAAACATGATCTTATTTAATCCTCACATTCTGCTAGGTCAGTATTACCTTATTTGTCAATGAAGAAAATAAAGCCCAGAGAGGTTGAGTATAAAGCCAAAGATTGCACAGGAATGGGGTATCTGTTTATGTAGTAAGACATTTCCGTTTTTCAGATTGTTGCAAAGTTGAGAAGAGATTAGAGAAATCCACTGTGTGTGTGTACATGTAGAAGAGAATTATGCTTTATTCACAAGGCTCCAGGGAAGTACTTTTAACATTATTAGTAGTCTTGCAGAGTCAAAAGAAGGGGATAGAGATTAGTGGTTGGGAGAGGGCACAGAAGAGCACTTTGGGGTTCAGTGTATTTTGCTCTTGGCAAGAAGTCACCTTATGAATACCAAGTAGCCTTGGCATGGCTGTGGACAGCTGTGAAATGACAGGAGTAACTATACTGGAGTGACATGAAATTCACAGATGGGATTCTTTTAGAAGTTGGCCTCTCGTTGATACGGCATTTCATAGATTCTCTCAATCAGGTTGAAGAGGTTTCCTTTCATTCACTGTTTGCTGAGAATTTTTATCATGAAAGGGTGTTGAGTTATGTCAAGTGCTTTTTCTGCATCTGTTGAAAATATCATATGGTTTTCCTTGCTCTTTTGTTCCATTAACATGGTGTATTATGTTGATTGATTTTCAAATGTTAAACCAATGTAGCATTTTTTAATAAACCTCACTTGGTCATGATGAATTGTCCTTTTTATCTGTTGTTGGATTTCATTTGCTAATATTTGGTTAAGGATTTTGCATCTACATTCATGAAGGCTATTGATATGTGGTTCTGTTTTTTTGAGATGTCTTAGTCTGGTTTGGAATCAAATTACTGGCCTTATAAAATGAGTTGCAGAGTGTTCCCTTCTCCTTTATTTTCTCAAAGAATGTGTAAGGTTGGTGTTCTTTTTTAATTATACAGAATTCACCAATGGAGCCATCTGGGCCTGGAGTTTTCGTTATGGGATGATTTTCAGTTACGAATTTAATGCCTTTAGTTGATAAAGGGCTGTTCAAGTTTACTATTTCTCTTACATTCAACTTTGGTAATTTGTTTCTTCCAAGGAGTTTGTCCATTTCATACAGGTTGTCAAACTTATTGGCATGAAGTTGTCAAAATGTTATTCTTCTAATGCCTGAAGCATCTTTAGTGATGGCCCTTCTTTGGTTCTTTTTTTTTTTAGATTTTATTTATTTTTTTTTTTCCCCTTAAAGCCCCAGTAGATAGTTATATGTCATCGCTGCACATCCTTCTAGTTGCTGTATGTGGGACGCGGCCTCAGCATGGCCGGAGAAGCGGTGCGTCAGTGCGCACCTGGGATCTGAACCCGGGCCACCAGCAGCCGAGCGTGCGCAATTAACCGCTAAGCCACGGGGCCGGCCCATCTTCTTTGGGTCTTGATATTGGTAATTTGTGCCTTCTCTTTCTTTTTAAATTTATCACAAGAGCAATAACTGTGAGAGAAAATGGGAAGAAGGTCAGGGAGAGCTCTCTGGTTGTAATGCACCTCTGACCCTGAGTGAAGGAGAGAGGGAAGGGAGGTTGGGGGAAGTCTTAGCCTGCCGTGTAGTCCAAGGAAAGGTTGGAGAGGCCATCAAAATCATGAACCAGCTTCAGATATGGGAGTCCCATATTTCCCCAATATAGGACAGCCTTAGCGCTTAGTCATTGGCTGGGTGCAGCCTGTGAGAACCTGGCCTCCCTTATAATCACAGAAATTCAGTGTGCAACAATTAAGCTCCCTATAGATAGAGGTCTATGAGGCCTGTTGTCGTGGCTGCCACACGCTTTGTGCATTCTTAATGTCCTACATTCTCAATGCCTTCCCTGATTACTCCAGCTCACAAAGATGGTCAATAAATACTTATAGAATGAATGAATCCCCTGAATTCCTCTGCAGTTAGCAGTCTCTGGCTTATATATTTGTCACTTGACATGTTCACACTTCCTTTGTATTTCAGTTCTATTTTTATGTTGATACATCTCTCCAAATTATATTCAAGGCTCTCCATCATGATTATTTTTAAATGCCTAAAATGCAACAACTGTTTATTAGTTCATTGATTAACAATCTTTCCAGGCATGCTCAATAAGGAAAAAATAAGATTATGATAAGTCCCATTAATAATTTGCTTAAAAATAAACATCTTAAAGCCATTAAGCTTTATATGACATATATAAAATGTCATTTATGTATTTATTCAACAATAAGTATTAATAAAGCATCTCTTGTGTGCCAGGCATGTGCTCAGTGCAGGGAATACAGTGCTGAATAAGTCAGACAGGCCTTGCCCTAATAGGTTTATGAGACAGACACACAATAAACACATAAATATGTAAACAAATACAGAAGAGCTAGAGTTGGAAACTTACCATATGATTGTCCCCTGAAGTTTTATTTATCCTACACAATTGGTTAATATTAGAAACTTGAGACGTGTTCACATAAAAGACAAGCCAAAGGTAAATTGTTGCAAAATTCAGAGCTGAAGGATCTGTAAGTAATGGTCATATTTTCCTTCTAGATAGACAAGCCAATTTATCTTCCTGGGACATTTCCAGGATTGCATCTCTTTCACAAAGTCTTTTTACCCTAAATGAGATAGAGATATCTATAAAGCTTAAATAGAATCAAATTTATGTATTCATTATTTACTCATTTATTTTTTCATGCTTCATTACTTAGTGTTGGAAAATACAAAGATAAAGAAGACACACTTCCCACATTCAAAATTGTTTAATCACATGAGTGTCCACTGGTGGCAATTTCCACTAGTATCTAGTGTTTATTTAAAATTTATTTTACTGGGCCGGCCCCGTGGCTTAGCGGTTAAGTGCGTGCGCTCCGCTGCCGGCGGCCCGGGTTCGGATCCCGGGTGTGCACCGAGGCACCACTCCTCCAGCCATGCTGAGGCCGCGTCCCACATACAGCAACTAGAAGGATGTGCAGCTATGACAGACAACTACGTACTGGGGCTTTGGGGGAAAAATAAATAAATAAAATCTTTAAAAAAAAAAAAAAATTTATTTTACTTTTTCCACTATGCTAAACAAACATGTATTTAGTCTTCTCAACATGGTTAGTGAAGAGAAATTATAAATAGATTAGACATACCTTTCTCAGACTCAAAAATAAACCTGGGGGGCCCCATGTCGTAGCGGCCCCATGTCGTAGCGGTTAAGTGCGTGCCCTCTACTGCTGGCGGCCTAGGTTCGGATCCCTGGCGCGCACCGACGTACCACTTGTCAGGCCATGCTGTGGCAGCAGCCCACATAAAGTGGAGGAAGATGGGCATGGATGTTAGCTCAGGGCCAGTCTTCCTCAGCAAAGAGAGGAGGATTGGCATGGATGTTAGCTCAGGGCTGATCTTCCTCACACAAAAAAATAAATAAATAAACCTGAAATCAGATAGCAGTTCTTATACAAAACATTTATAAATCTGATCTGGATGTCCTATACACCCTTCCATTGTGATCTACAGGAAATAAATCAAGCTTTGACTTTTACACCTGAAAAATACCTCCAAGTTAGTTATGCACAAAGTGCTCTGGAAAGTTAACATAGGTAATATAAATTGGCTTTTTTTTTTCTTTTAGGAAAGTCTTAATAGACATCGATACTTGAATTCTTTATTTCCTAGTGAAAATTCCACTGCCATCTATGGAATAAATCAGTTTTCTTATTTGTTTCCTGATGAGTTTAAAGGTATGGTGTGATGGTGCTATTAGTTGATTAGTTTCCTGGTTTTAATTTGTTTCCTTAATTTTTGAGGAATTGTTTAATTGTGAATCCAGTAAGTTGAGTAATAGTTAGCCTTTATTAAATACTAAGTGTCAGGCATGTACCAGGTGCTGACAGAGAAATAAATTCATGGCCACTCTCTTCTAATTATTACTTAAGAACGAAATATAATTGTAGGCATTTCCATATGGCTGTAAGGGACAATGCCTCTTCCCATCTGTAGTGTTCTAGTGCTGTTTCTATTCAAGACACCCCTGGTTCCATGGGTTATGATAAAACAAATGATGTCAATTATACTCATTTTTATTATTGACCTAGTTCTTATCAAGCAACTTATTTTATGTGGCAGTTCCAGTCCTATGGTAGGAGTTCTTATCTTTGTAGCTTTCAGCTGAATGCATTTCATGTTATGGAAAAGCACGAAGTAAAATTACAAACGGCAGGCTCTACTATAAAGCTACTGTTTCTGTTTGAAAAATTCCTCCAAAAAGAATCCCAAGGGCCCCTCCCTATAATATAACATTGACTGTCTTTTCATTTCATGTTTCTACTCAGCTGTTTATTTAAGAAGCAAACCTTCCAGGTTTCCCAGATACCCAGCAGAAGCACAAACGTCCATCTCCAATGTGTCTTTGCCGTTAAGATTTGACTGGAGGGACAAGCACGTTGTGACGCAAGTGAGAAACCAGCAGGCGGTAAGTTTTAGATTTTTTTCTTTTTTAATCATCTCAGCATGGGAAGTCACCTTTGAGGTCAGGGTCAATCAATCTTATCATGGAACTCATCATTTCTCTGGGTAAAATCACACCCTAATCATCCAAAAATGACAAGGAAGGGAGAATCTCTGGTGTCAAAGCCCAGCTTTTATTCTGAGGATAAACCTTCCTTGGTGTGTTCTCGTACTAACTGCCATTGCCACCAGCACATTAACTCGGGGATGCTTCCCAGTGGCTGTGTCACAGTTACTAAGCCTTCTATAAAATAGTAGATGGAAGACTGGAGAAGCTAAACTTGACTCCTAAATGCCTAAATAGTTTTAAAGGAAAACAACACTGAAAAAGTAACATGAAACCAGATCTATTTACCAACAGTGTGACCTGATCTCTTGGGTGGTCAAGCATCATCCTTTGAGCTCCATCAGAAAACCCTACCCCCATGCCCACTCCTACAGGATCATACACTTTTTATCTGTGATCCTTACAAATACAATCAATTCTGCTATAATGTGACATATATGTTCCTAAAGTCACCACCTGTGCAAAATTGTGCAATAAAAACGAAAGGGTTATGGAGAAATGAGGTTAGGGCACAGCACTCAAAAACTAAGTGACACAGTAAAGAAAATAAAGTAGTAAAAATGACAGCACAGGTTTACACAGGTTAAATGATTAAGAAATGTGTAAGTACTGGTAAAAGTATAGCAATTTACCTTGAAAATGACCTGAAGTGTGCCTGTGGAAGTGATGGTTGGAAGGGCTGCAGCTTGTGAATTGTTATGAAGTGATGGGAGGATTATCTGAAATCAGGAGGGAAGTGGTAACATCAGATGTGAATGGATGTGCTCATAATACATAGTGAACCAGTCTAGCTGGCAGATGTTTGAGGAGCATGTGTACATGCTTTGCTGACATTCGCTACCCCTCTGCACCTCCACGGTTGACGTAGGGAATGTCAGCTGACCAGGGAAAGTCAATCCCCTAACTACAGGGATATAGTCTCAATTTGTCTGCAGTGGAAACCTCAACAGGTCATTCAGCCTCTCCTTGCACGGCAAGTGTTTGGGACCGGTAGTTACTCAGTCACCATCTAGTTAACAATGATCCATTTTATTTCTCAGATTCTGTATCTGTTGTTGTGAATTAAATTTTACCACCAAATCATTTGCTTTAGTATTGAATTCACAATGAAGTGTGAATTAGTCAGAAACCCAATCCTTTCTACATTGTATTAAAGGGAAACTTTTAATTAGGAATCTTTGATTAAAGGAATACCCTGGAGAGCTATTTTTGAGCAGGAACTGTCCTCCTGGGGCTACAGGTAGATAAACTAAAGCTAGCTATAGGTATGGCGTCAGCAACCTGTATTCACATTTCTCAAGGGATGGAGACCCTGCAGTAGAGTCCATTAGTGAATATTTTACTATGCCATAGGCACTGGAGATATAGACATAAATAAGACCACTTTAAGCCATAAAGTTGCTCAAAACTTTACTCCACAAAGCCAACCAATTGTTTTTCTTCATTTCTTTGCCCAACTCTGCAGCACATGTCCTATGATTAAGTCAGTTCTGCCCAATTCCAAATCTTACTCTCACCTCTGCCTTTTCCATGGATCCTTCTTCCTTGTGCCTGATCCTTGATATCCTTCCCTCCGTCTCCTCCCTTTTTTTTCCAGACCAGCCATTTTATTCTTTTGTTCTAGTTTGTCCAATAAAAGCAAGTTAATAGATTTAGAATCAAGAAGATTGTCAGCCAGTATTTGAATGTGGAATGACTGATATGGGTTTCTATCATTAGGACATTTCATAGGCATCCATGATATGCCCGTGCTGGCATCTTGATAGCCTAAAAAGTAATTCATTCATCTCCTGTGTCCATCAGATACTGGGTACAACATATACGACACACATCCTCACCCCGCTTCACCTCATCACTGCCTCCCACCCTTGGGATGGAGATGGTGGATAGAATAGAAGCGGAGTGTCAGGGGAGAAGCAAGAGCGATTGAAGAATGGAGCGGGAGTCGGTACACTTCATAGAAACGGAAATCACATGCTCAGTGAACTGACTAGTCTTTTAAAAGACAATCAGTTAGTCCGAGTGTTTTCTCAAGCTCTAAAATTCCCTTTTATCTTGCATTTTCTAATTTACAATAGTCATACTACCAATTTACCTTAACTAATAATTATGTTTTGATGCTTAAAAGAGAATTTTGCTTTTCTTTTCTCTTTTCAGTTTGAAAATCTACAAGATGGGAATTTATCTTTTGTAGGCGTCCAGATTCTGCTCATTTTACTTGATTTGATAACTTAACGATATTTAGAGATGTTGATAAACTTGACTTGAACATTATTTGATAATAAGCACTACTCTATTTCTACTTTTGGACAGTGTGGAGGATGCTGGGCCTTCAGCGTGGTGGGCGCAGTGGAATCTGTATATGCAATAAAAGGGAAGCCTTTGGAAGATCTAAGTGTGCAGCAGGTCATTGATTGTTCATATAATAATTACGGCTGCAATGGAGGGTCTGTTCTCGATGCTTTGAACTGGTTAAATAAGGTGACTAATTTCTCGGCCTTTTAAACTCTTGGTTTCCGCTTTTGCTTATTTAGTGTGTGTTCAGAATTCAAACAATTTACTCTCATATTCTAAATAATGTTTTTAAGTTCTGGAATTTAGATGACCAAAGCTTGAATTAATCAGAAAATTAAGGAAAGTCAACCATCAAAAAATCAAAGTGTGAAAACATTATACTACCTGAGACTTGTTTTCAGAAAAATATTTATGATTTCTGAACATTTCTTAATAGGTTAATGCTCTTTTTTCACAGGTGCAGTCACACAATAACCCAGAAAGATGAGAGCATGTGATTATTTATTTCCATAGAATTTCTGAATGTTAAGGTTAAAAGGGACATTAGAGATCAGCTAATTTAGTAACTCTTTTTGTAGATGAAGAAATGAGACCTGGGAGGTGAGATCATGTTGCCAAATCATTAGCTGAGCCAGGACTGCACTTAAGTCGTCTGCCACCCGCTGGAGGGCTTTACCCAGTTTATCACAGTGTCTCTCAGTGTTCATAGGACACTTTCTGGCATTGTCCTATATCCAGCATCAATTGCATGAAATCAGCCAACGAGGTGCTATTATGTTCTGTAAAATATCAAGCTAGAGTTTCCCAAACCCGAATATCCTTCCCTTGTTCATTTGCTATATTTTGAGTCACTGTATGCCAGAAGCTGCTCTGTACACATCATGGGCAACAGTGAATTGTGTGTCCCCTGGCTTCCATAAGCCCAGAATTCAGAAAGGGAGGATTCTGTATAGAAAACTATAAAATATGTGATATAGGCTAGATGAATGGCACAGAGAGAAGTGGATAGAAGAATGCTGGACCTAACCATTGCCTGTGCATAAACCACTGTGCTGAGTGACTCTCAAAGACTTACTAACGTAGAACCAGAGCTCTGGAAGGAAAGTGAGTTGCCCTATTGTACCCTCAAGAGAAAGAAGAGGAGACTTTATTGTCAAATCGATGGAGTTTCTAGGGAAGGAAGATATAGAAAAAACAAGAATAAAAGAGAAAGAAAGATATTGAGTATAATTACCTAGGATGTCCATAACAAACACCTAAATATTTAATTTAAGATCTTAATAACCCAAAGAATATCCACATGATGAAGGTGTAGCCAAGTTGAATCTTATTTTGACACATTACAGTGTTTGACTTGGTTTTTAAAACAACTGCTTGACAGAGAACATTTGGGTGATTGTTTTCTTTTAGACGCAAGTAAAACTGGTGCAAGACTCAGAATACCCATTTAAAGCACAAAACGGCCTGTGCCATTACTTTTCTGATTCACATTCTGGATTTTCAATCAAAGGTTATTCTGCACATGACTTCAGGTAAATGTTTTATTCTACTGTATTTTTCTCTGTGTTTCTTAACTTATGATCTATTGACTATTTGGAATTAATAACTTGATTGAAGACATCACTGCACACTCTTAATTGTTTTAAAACCTGCTTTATACTAGAGAGGCTAATTGGCAATCCCCATGGGGTCTTTTGGATGTTGTTTCTTAAATATGATCTACTTATTTTTCCATGTGTCATTACAATAGAAATAACAAACTTAAATTAACACAATTAAATTCAGTTTAAGGCATAATTTATATTTACCACCTTCCTCTTACCAAATTTAGGTGTTATAATTTCCATTCGTGTATTTCAGTCTTACTGCTGAATCAATCAAAATTGCTTTGTGTAGACTCTCCAACTAATATCAAGCAGTCTACTTACCAAGAAGCATTTTTGGAACACCCTCTCTGTTCCTTGCATTTTTCAAGGGATCAAAGATAAGAAAAACATAAATTGAAACTTTCGCATTAGAAACAAGTAGGGAAGAGTACATTCCTGGAGATGGATGATGTAGCACACACTGTAAGCATGATGGGAGCTCAGGGACAGATAAGGATGGGCTGAGGAAGAGGACTTGTGTTGGAACTTGAAGGGCAAGATGACTTTGGACAAGTCAGGGGAAAACAATCATTAAAAAATGCTTTAAAATCACATGAAAAACTCAAAGCTGGCTAGAGAACCGTTGTGACCACTTGACGTAGTGCAAAATAGGTGTTCAGAGATGATAAGGACAGAGGAAGACTCAATAAACTCTTCGTTTCATTTTTCTGAAGATATGAAAGGAACTTTGCACAGTGTTTTGAAAAACAGAACACAGAGAAATTAAATTCAAATAAGGTGACTGACTGCCCTATAAATTGCTCGTACTGAATATAAAAAAAATCTCTTGATCCAGATGGTGTCTACCCATGGGATCTGAAGGAAATCGAGGGTGAAATGGGATCCTTGGACAAAATGGAACCCCTCTAAATAAGCATAAGTGTGTCAGAGGACTCGTAGATTGTCAACAAGGCTCCCGTCTGCAATAGGGACTCTCAGGGTGCCCCTAGGAACCATGAACCAGAGAGCCTCAAGTACAGATGGCAGGATACACAGACGCTATAATAAAATGTGCAGGGTCACTGAGTACATGCGTCAGCATCTCCTCTGAGGGTAAAGGTAACATTAAAAGGTAATTTCTAAAATGAGAAAGTGTGCCTCTATAAGCTATCAGTGCTTTTAGAGTGTAAGTGAAGCCTGTGCACACGAAGGAATTAGATTTTCAAAATATCATTAAAAAGGATCAGGGAATCCCATGTCATGTGTAGCAAATTGAAAAAGTTAGGAAGAAACAAAAGAATAATAGGCATTAGTCTGAATTAGAGAGAGACTGAGTGAGGGGGAGAGAAAATGCAAAGGTCACTGGCATTGGATCTCAAACAGGATTTATCTAACTCTTTGATTAAGAAAGAATAAGTCCCTATAAAAACCTCCACGTTTATACTGAACATTAAACTCTCTGAGAATACAATACTAAACTAACTGCGTTAGACTCTGCAAGAAGGCCTTTCTTTGATTTATTCGTGCATTCAAATATTTATTGAATACTGTTTTAGATTCTCGGGATTTGGCAGTAAACAAAACAGACAAAAACCCTGCCCTCAGGACTGTATTTTAGTGATAGAGACAAGCAATGAACAAAACAAATAGAAATATGCGTGATATGTTAGATGTAAGAACTTTTAAAGTGAACAAAATTAACACAGTGAGAGGAAGAGGAAACATCGGAGGGAGGGTAGGGGAGTATACATCTTAGAAAGGGCACCCAGAAAGGGGGACCCCAAAAAGATGACATTTGAGTAAAGATGTGAAGAAATGTGGGAACTTAACCAGGAAGAGATTTGGGGAACTACTGTTCTAAGCACAAGGACCTGTCAGTGCAAAGGCCCTGAGACAGAAACATGGCTGGCACGTTTAAAGAACAGTAAGGAAACCAATATGACTGTAGTGGAGAGAAGGACAAGACTAGTAGGAGATAAGATAATAATAACCTTAGAGCAGAGTATTGGAAGAATGGTCTTAGACATGAGAGAGAGCAGGTTAATACCACTCACAGAATAAAGCCCCACAGGAATTTTATATAAGGCATAAGAGAGAAGAGAGTCAAGGATGACTCCAGGCTTTTTGGCCTGACAACTGAAAGAATGGAATTACCATTAATCAAGATGTGCAAGTCTAAGACAGCAAAGATTTAGGAGGGAATATGAGGTTTACCTGGGACACATAGGCAGTGAATCCAGGGAACGCTGGGAGGGTGTTGGGGGAGTGAGACAGAAAAGGGAAAGCAGAGATCCTTATTAAGCAAGTGAGTACCAAGGGTAATGTGGCACTTAGTCCTACTGGGGAACTCTGGGGCCAAGGTAAACTATGCATTTCAGAGGGATCCCACCAGAGCTGAGGCTTCTCACCTCCCGTGATTCCTTAGTGGAGGGTGCAGCTCGGGTAGCCGTGGCTCAGGCTTGATTTCTGGCTCCTTAGGAGAGAGGGGCCTCAGGCAAAGAACTGCAGGGTCCCCTCGTTGGAAGCTCCTTGTTGGCTGATTGCACTGCAGTGGGATGTGGGAAGGTCTTCCACAGCATCTGCTGTAACCAGGCACTGGACCAGGACCCTGGTACTTAAATATCACCACTTCCATCTGAGGCCCTTGAGACGCAGGGAGAGTCCCTCAGCTAGTAAACCATGAGGCCAGATTAGAACTCCTCTATCTGTCCAACTCCAAAGCGCATACTTTTTCCCTACCTCTATTTTTAAGGTCGTGAACTCTTAGTTTTTTAATATTCTCAGACAATGTCAGCCCAGGGCCAGCTATAAGCCCAAAACTCCATAAATCTTGTGCAGAACTTGAAAAGATCTTAAAAAAAAAAAAAAAAAAAAAAAACCACTGAATCATAAACACATAATCTATCCTTAAAGTAAAATGACCATTCACACCCAGGCTTCTTCATGCATGTTTGCTCATCAGACCCCAGAAAAGACATTTCAGAACTCAGAATAGCATATGAGAATGACTATTTAAATAAACAAAAAGGGAAGGAACCTACTACCTATAACAGTAGATGGAAAAACTAAGACAGTATAACACTGAATTCAAGGGAGGATGAGATGGAAATCTACATACTCGTCAAGGGTCTGTGACAGATAAGACTTGCCTTAATCACCAAGTCTTGATGACAGTAAAATTTAGGAGAATTCTTTAAACACTATAGGATTTGTATCTTACTGATCTGTGAAATGAATAGTAAGCTCATGGGACAAGGTTTGATCATATAGCCATTATCAACAATGTGCATTTTGATAGTAGCTCTATATTGGGCTAACAATGGAAATAAAGATGCTGTTTGGAGAATATTTTAACTTGCTAAAAACCAACACTTTTCTGAAAGACAGGTGATAACAATGCTTGTCACCGCTGGGGCTAAATGGAACATTTGTCTACTGGTCCTGACTATGGCATGTCCTCCTATTTCATATTTTCCAGTATCTTTGATATGTTTTCTTTAGCCCTGCCTCAAAGCAGGGATTATTACTAAGTTGTTTCTTTGATCCTACAATGTGAATTACCCTTTGCACTCTAAAAAATACTTCTTCTTGATCTTTCTCTTTCCCTCATGCTGTTCCTGTAACTGAATCTTTGATGTCATGTATTTACAGTCTATCTTTTGTTATCTTAAAAAGGTGGAGACAGCTGTGTTCTGGTTAATACAGAGATTATAATATTTGTCATATTTGGATTACAAAATATTCAAACAATTTGAATATAATAAAATATACATTGTACACTAAAACCTATGCTGAAAAAATTAGTTTATTAGATAACTTAGAAATGAGGGAAGGAAACAATGTTTATTATAAACCTGGAGTATAATGTATGTGTGAGGCATGCTACAAAATTTATACCTATAATTTTATCCTTACATTGATACTGCAAGGTAGGTGCTATGACTAGACAGCTGGAATTTGAACCCAGGTATGTGGAACTTCAAACCCTACCCCCTTACCATGATGCCTTTTAAGAATTTTGTAATTTTACCTGTACCGGGGTAATCTTAATGAATACCAATTATTATTACAGTTGCAAAAATTAAAAATGACTGCTTATAGATTTCCACAAAACAGATCTTCATATTAACAGGTAACATGAATAAATATTTAGAATAAATGTGTAGTATCTATTTCAATAAATTGATCTGTTATGCACTCAATTTTTTTCCTCATCTGTGGACAAAATATCCCTTTGATGGAAACTGATCTCCAGCTGGGCATGATGAGGGATTATTTACTCTTTCAAGTTCCTAATCCACCCACGCCTTGCTGCAGCAGTAAACTACCAAATGCTATTTTAATGGCCTGAAATATCAGTAACTTCGTTTTGGAGTCCTTCACCCACAAAGCTGACCTTTTAAAATGTAAATAGTGGCTTAATCACATACTTCTAAGATTGATGAAGGCCAAATGTGTAGCATAAGACTTCGTCAATAGATGGCCATGTGTGAAAGCAATAACTGTGTCTTTTGCAGTCTTCACAATTTAGTGCTAGTTCTCCTGGCATCTTAACATTTCTTCCATCATAACATTATATTTGCCAATTTTGGGTAACCCTTCCCAAACATAAATTCTGTATTTGACATTCACTAACATAAGTTGGTCGGTCTCTTGATTCTCATGTGGTGTGGCAGAGGTATCTCCAAGTATCCAGTCTTCCCACTTTTCTTATTAAAAGAATCCTTATTTTGTAGCTGGATACAAAACTCCATTTCCCATCTTCCTTGAAGTTAGATTGAGCCATATGATTGAATGCTAATCAATGAGATCCATGCAGAATATGTGGGTTACTTCTGGGAAGTCTTCTCAACAGGACTACGGCACTTCTCTTTTCTACTTCCTGCTGTCTGAAATATGTGTTAAATGGCTGGAGCTCCAGGAGCCATCTTGGACCATTAATTGACCTGGGGAATGGAAACCTCACATAGCAGAACAATAATATAGAAAGATCCTGGGTTTCTGATATCCTGGACCCCATAGCAGTCCTGGACTGCCATTCTCCCAGACTTCTTTTAGCCTCCAGCATTTAGGTTTTTAATAATTGCAACCAAACCTACTCCTAACCATACACAGATTAAATAGATCATTTTGATAAAATATTTTTACCTTAAAAACTAAAATCCTTAACCAAATATTTCCTCTTTTGTTAGTGACCACGAAGACGAAATGGCAAAAGCACTAATTACCTTTGGCCCTTTGGTAGTGATAGTAGATGCAGTGAGCTGGCAAGATTATCTGGGAGGCATAATACAACATCATTGCTCTAGCGGAGAAGCAAATCATGCAGTTCTCATAACTGGCTTTGATAAAACAGGTAAGTGCTGATAAGCCTGGATTGATTGCTCTCCAGTTTGAACTCTGACAAATGATTGCCATCTTTTAAAAAATGTTGAAATTTGGTCCTGCTACTTCTAAATCCTCCTAAGACATTTAGAACTTTTCAGTAGACTTCCAAGTATAAATACCCTGCCATGTTCTCCCTATCAATTTTGGTCGATATCTTGTTAAAATGATAATAATTCTTAATTTAAATATTGTGCATTCTCCATCTGGAATGTTTAGGATAATTGTTGGGAAAAGAGAAAGAGAAGTGCTTATTACTTTATCATACGTATCTAACAATTCTTTTTTTTCCTTTTCCTAATTCCCTGGAAATGTGTGTGTTTTCATTTTATAAAGTCCTTGTATTAAGTGAAATGAGTTCAAACATATTTTTCCATTAGTTGGAGTGTGACACCAAGTACAGCTCAAGTTTACTTCGCTAGTTTAAGTTAGCATTATATTACATTTTTAATGTTTTTCTCATAGCTACTATACTTATCAAGAACCAAACTTTAAATAAACATGCATTCCCAACAAATATGAATTTTTCAGGGTTGGTTGGTTGGTTGGTTTTCAGGTTGGTTACCATTTTTTGTTTTGTAGGAAGTACCCCATACTGGATTGTGCGGAACTCATGGGGAATTTCGTGGGGAGTAGATGGCTATGCCCATGTTAAAATGGGAGGTAATATTTGCGGTGAGTCATGAATTATGTTTCGAACTCCAGGCTAAATGTCAAGGAAGATACTCTGAATATATTAAAATTATAATTTTAATTTTATTTAATTTTATTTAATTTAATTTAATCCATCCAGTCCATACTATGCTTCCAATGCACTCAAGTCACTTTTACAGTAATAATTTTCTTCCTTTATCCAATTGATAAAAATAAAAGTGTTTTAAAGAGAGACAATATTGCATATATTCACATTTTAAAAAGGAAGAGGGACTATAGTAAAAACAAATATAATGAGCAGAACATTATAAGATAAAGTAATAATTTACCAAAGTTAATTACTTCAGAAACCAGATAAATACTCAACTTAGGAGGCTGAAATTCTCCAGAAACATCTCCTAGTTCCAAATTTACTTTTTATGACTATATGAATTTCCCTTAATTTGTGTATTATAATACCTGCTCAAGGATTATCAAGAATCAGTTTTTCCTTATATCAAAATGTATGCAAATCTGAACATTAGGATTGTTTCTGATTTAATATACTCCTTGTCAACTAAAAAATTCTAGCAACACATCCACTGGAATTGAGAAGCTTGAGAAAATACCACATTCTCTTTTATCCAATAGCAAATTTTTTTGTTAATTAACCACAAACCAAATTAAAATAACTAATTAAATATTTTAAACTATATTTTAAAACCTATATTCACAAACTTTGGATCTAGAAAATCAATATATTTTCTGAATCGTTAGACCTAAACTGTATTGCATATGACAGCAATCATTTAATTTCTCATTACAATTATTTCTAATATATATACAACTTTTTAAAAATTGTAGAACCCTCTAGATTGTGAGACTGATAAAAGAGAGTTATAGAAAAGTTTGCAAGTTTACATTTTGATTCAGCCTAGTGACTACTGTCCAACTGTTCCAGAAAGTAGAATCTTTGAGAGTTAATAATTAGCCTGTTCTATCATTAAAAAATATTTGTAAAATATTTTTAATAAATTATTTATTGAAGAGAGTGAACATCGCAGAAATATTTCAGCCAGAGCACTAGCAACACAATCAGGCCTCTACTTTTAGCATCTTTGGGGGCATTTACATTGTTGAAAGTTGCAGATAAATTATTGCTGCCGTTCGCTGAACCTCTGCTACTCAACATAAATTCTCTCTAATGTTGAAGTGGTGTTGCCTGGATCTGGGCCAAGGGGTGGCTGTTTTCAAAGCTCTGGCAGGAGAGTTGCAAGAACCTACTTCAGACATTGGTTCAAAATTGCCTCAGTAATGACTCGGTATCCCCCACCACCACCTTCCACCAACCCCCAGCTACTAAGGGTGAGTTGGAATAATTTCTCCTCTCTACCTGTTTCCCAAGTTGATTCTCCAAGGCCATGCTTGGTTAGTAATCCAAATCCTTCCTAAAGTGAGTATTTCCTGAAAGTTACATACCTGATGATGATAATATTACTCTTACGAACTATGGTATAAGGCAGATAGCATTCCATGGTCCCAAGAGATTTCAAGACATAGATAACTACAATGAAATCTAGTCTTCAAATGGGCTATTTATTGCTTTCGTCTTGATATTGAGATCTGTGTTCTTGTGTGCTAAGAAAGCATAGCACACCATGATTTATTGAAATTTGCTAAAGTTCAAATCTTGGAGTCTGAATTTTCAAAGTGTATTTAAAATGATCTTATAAGTTATTTTATTGCCTCTAAGCAATATATGGTGGTCTAATGTTAAAATTCGGCGCCCTCACTGCCGTGGCCCCAGTTCATTTCCCTATCAGGGAACCACTCCACCTGTCTGTCAGTTGTCATACTGTGGTGGCTGTGGGTTGCTGTGATGCTGAAAGCTATGCCACTGATTATTTCAAATACCCATGGTGGACAGGTTTCAGTGGAGCTTCCAGACTAAGACAGACTAGGAAGAAGGACCGGGTCACACACTTCCAAAAAAACTGGCCATGAAAACCTATGAATAGCAGTGGAGCATTATCTGATATATCACTGGAAGGTGAGAGGATGGCGCAAAAAGACCAGGTGGGGTTCACTTCTGCTGTAGGAGTTGGAACTGACTCGAAGGCACTAACAGCAGCAAAGCAATATACATGAGTGCAATGAAGATTTTGGATACATTCATCTATTCAGTTAATAAGTAGTTTGGGGGTTTTTTGTAGTTTCTCGAAACAAAAATATTAGTCATCTCTTCTAACATCTGCTTTTGAGGTTGCCATATTTATACTGATAGATAGCTATAACCATTAAGTTCTTTTCTTAGTAGATATTGACTCTTTCTGAACCCAAATGAAAATTGTTTTAATTTGCTATTTAAAATGCATATAAAGAGGAAATAGACTAGTACTAATAATTTCTTTTTTTCTTAGGTATTGCGGATTCCGTTTCTGCTGTATTTGTGTGATACGTTGAGCAGATCAAGAGACAACTACAAAAAGGCAGATTCATCATGAAATGTAGCGTGGTACTTCATTCTTACCATCATTTACCTTTAGGCTTTAGCAGCCACCCACAAAAGGTTCTAGGATCTAGTAGTATTTAAACTACACTGTAGAATGTTCCCTTCTTCTGGAGAGATGGACAACCAAAGTCAGTAGGAAGAACACCAGCACCTGGCCTGGGAAGAAAACTGTGGAAGTTTCCCACTCTGGGATGAAGGTCGGATTAGGACATATTTTAGGTCTCTTCAACTTGAAGAGGCTATTATCTGGTTTTGTTTGATTATTGTTTTTGTTTGTTTATTTTTAATGATATACTTCTGGTAGGATTAACGAGGTGATAATGAATTTCTTTTCCTTTGTGGGATATAATCACCAGCCTTAGCTTACTCCTATATACAAGAATAGCCAACCTAAAATTATGTGTGCCTCTCACAATTATATAGCAGCCCTCAGAGATGGAATATCATAAGGATTTTGAAATACCAATTGCTTTACCTCAATAAATGGTGTTTACCTCTTGAACTGTAGAGTGGTCATGTAGAAAGAAACAAAAGGACAAAATCACTTTTTAAGAGAAACAGTTAACCTGATTGAAATTAGATGACCAATATGGCAGCTATAGGACAAGAAAAATTAAGTAGCATTGCCTGAGAGACAAATTATTGTTTGGATATTGCCATTGTCAGTAGGACTCCAATAGATTTTATTTCTTGTTTTGTCTTCCCTATATTGGAGAACAATGTGTTTTCCCACTCTTTCTCTTACTCTTGACTGTGAAACTCCTAAGTTTTCCTGGTGATTGGCTTCCCTGGCTAAAGAATTGTCTCATTGTTTACTTTCCATTTCTATTTTATAACCATTTATTTGGCTCCAATGGTCTCTAAGCCTTTATCAACATCAGCATATCACCTTTCTCTTCCTCGCATCATTTGTAGGCACCACCCCTGTCAAAGTCCAATCTCATTAATTTGGAGTATCAGCCAAAATGCGAGTTTCCCAGGCTCTCTGATGTCCCATTTTTCTGCTTATTTTTCCCAGACTCCCATGCTAGTTACTTTTTTGTGCATCCGTTTGGCTTTCACTTCGTTCCTGGTTCTTAATGCCTGTGTTCTCTCTTGATAAATCATGATGTGTGGCAGTGTAAGAACCTCAGAACATAAGTGCTGATCTTCTGATTGAAGATAAGTACAACAGTGTTTAATGAGTTAATATAAGAAAACCATGTCAAATCCTACATATATTAATATTCTCTAAAATTCATGATTGCTTTCTAATGTAGAATATCTTAACAAAAATGAAATTTTAAATGTAGCAGCAATCACTGAAAAAAATTGAGGGCATCCCATTTTTCCTCTCACTGTTGGCCTTTATTTATCTATCCCCTTTATTAGAAAAAGAAAATCAAAACCAAAACATTGTATTTCTTTTTCTTACACCAACCAGAAGCAATCTCAAAAGAATATGTGTTGACTCAAGTTTAGAAATGTTCCAGGAAGACAATATTGATGTTTTAATCGATAAATATTCTAATTATCCAAGTATGTCAAAAAGGAACTATGTCCTGGGTGTTTTAGTTTGTGTTCATTTACTGATTTCTACATGATATAAATGCTTTTCTGATACTCTTTTTCAAATGCTAAAGAATTTTTAAAAATCAAAATGATTGATACCTCTCAGATCTTCTGGGTTTTGATGACATTTGTAATAAGACAACCTATATTTAACTTTGGATTAAGAAGAATCTGTCCATAAATGTATGGCTTACATTTTATCAACAGTGTTAGTGTGCTTTACATTCACACAGAGTTTCCTCATCTCCAAATCCACATATCAATTTTTGGTTTTCTCCATGGACACCTTAACCTCAATGTCTCCAAAACTCCATTCATCATCTTCCTTTCCCCTCCTTCTAAAAAAAAAAAAAAAGGCTCCTGCACCTCCTAGAGTCTCTATTTTGGTTAACAGCATCAACATTATATAATCACCCAATCAATAAAATTGAGGGATATCTTAGATATTTAATCAGGTCAACTATACACCTTAGTAACCCATCACTTAATCACCTACCTCCTCTCCGTTTTTACTGTTCCTTCGTAGATGCATGGTTTTTAGTATCTCTCATCTTCACTATTCAGTAGTCTCCCCACTAAACCCCATGTCCCTTAATCCAGGAGTTCTTGAAGTATAGTCCCCAGACCAGAAGCCATCTGAGGACTTATGAAACACTTTAATTTGATAAGCCCTCCAGGTGATTCGAATGATGTTAATATAATCTATGTACTATATGTCCCCTGGATTTGCATTTCTAGAAGACAACATTATCTTGTTATTCCCCTGTTTTAAACCATTCAAGAGCTCCCCAATGCCTAAATGATAACATGCCAACTCTTATGTGAGCTTTCACAAAGAAGCCCCTTTCTCCCGTCTCAGCCTCAATGGCTGCTCTTCTACATAGGCATATGCTGTCCTCCAGCCATAACAAACTACTTGAAGTTCACCCGGTGAGGCTGAGAGGAAAGCAATGAAGTCTTCATATTAATTAGGAGTCATAATGAAAATCATCAAGATGTTCCTGGGTATGATTTCACAAGGATCTCAAAGTGAATACTAAATGGGACAAGCTTACAGGGACTTCGTGACCCATTTAAGAATTGTAATTTAAAGTGGATCATGAGTGCTAGGAGCGAGTTTGAACAGGGGGCAAGGTAGAAATCGGCATTATAAATTGTTTTGACATTTACATTAAGAATGACTGATATATCCTTTGAAAAAAAGTCTTAACAATTGTATAGCTTGGTTATACCAAGAAATATAGATAAAAAGACCTAAATCCAATCATTTTGTCTATTAAAAGAATAAGACTTGACAAATGGCATTTACTCCAAGATTCCAAGGCATGTTGGTGACAAAACATCTATTAACATATTTTTTTATTACTTCATGAGAAAAAGCAAAGATTAGAAGTATTTTTATCCCCATTATGTAGATGGAAAACTGGGGCTTAAACTTTTGTTTGTACCAGAGTAGATAGTTAATAAATGGCAAAGCCAGAATTTTCTCCCAAGCTTGCTGATTTCAAAGCTAATGCCTTTAGTCACCATGCTGCCTTATAAGAAAAAACTTGGAATTGAGACCAAAGAATAGTTCAGTTCCATCAAGAACTTGCTGCTTGCTATAATCATTCTAGGTCAGGGTTGTTATACATTTTAGATTCCTTTGATGATAACTTGTACTCTCCTCATAACAGAAATTTAACTAAGTATTGCCAATATCCAGGCTGAGCTAGAAAAAGAAGAGTAAAACTCACGTCTGATCTAAACTCTTAGCCTAAAATTTTTTGTTAGAAATGAACTGGGTCATTGTTTAGTCTGTTTATCTCTCCTTTCTTCTGGAAAGAACATTCTTCTTCACTTGAAGGAACTATTAACTCATTCCTACCTCAGTCCTGCTGTGCATTAGAGTTGAATCTACCCCACAAACCACAAGCAGTGAAGCTGGGAAGAGCACCTTTGCCCTTCTGGGAGTCCAGAGGTGCTAGAAGCTGGGACCCACCCTGAGGAAGGCGCTGATCTACAACAAAGAAGAAGAAAACCAACACCTACAGAAAAGAAGAGATGAGACAGAGATTCCTCAAAGTGTTCAGGAATAAAGTACTCCAGGAACTAGATCTATCCCTGTGACCTCAGACTCCTCTCAATTCTTCGAGCTAGCGGAGTAATTGCCCAATAAAACTTCAGATAGATTTCTGTCATTGGTCATCAAGAGTCCTAACAAATACAAGCCATGTTTCCAAAACAATATATGCAAAAAGACTAATTTTTATTATTTTTAAAAATTTTTGATTGACCAAGTTTTTGTGTAGAATGACACATTTTATTGCATAAAATATTTGAAATAGCTAAAGTTTACAGCTTATAATGGATTAAACAATGAAATGATTACATTAAATGATTACATTAAGGTAAGTATCAGGGAACATTAAGTTTTTAATAGGAAAACACCCTATGTTATGTACAATGTTATAATTTAACTGAATTAATTTCTTATCTTAGTGCTGAATTTTATATCATTACAAAACTGAGGTAATATAATTATTTCCAAGATGGGATCAGAGCACCACAGTGCTTAACTATGTATGTACATATATTACAATAAGACTCTGTGTATTCACGAAAAGTCATAGAAAATTTTAAAAAACAAACTGATAAATCAGTGTTCTTCATAGATTTTTGCAGATAATTTTAATCCGATTCATCACTGCTGAGGTAACAGCTGTTAAAATAATCAGCCGTGTAAAGGAATTTATGAATAATTGGGTTCATCTTCGGTATCCAGTGTCGAGGAACCAGATATGTTGAAAGATTAAATAAATCTACAAATACCTTGTACCTGTCACTGGAAAAACACATATATACAGATGTTTTAGATTTATTGACGTGAAATATTTAAAATTTTCCATCAAAAAATTTCATTTCTGAGGTAATATTTTGCCATAATTATTATTCAATATTATATTTCATTATATATTACATGTGTATATCATATATATTATATTAAATAGTATTAGTATTAAGATTGCCTCATTTTTATTCCATATCCAAATTCATGCCCATAAAACAGTATTATGTGTTGACCAGGCTCGTCCAGATTAAAACGTGGAGTCTTGTTATTGTCATGCTACCTTCTTAAAGATAAGGGTGTGTTCTTATTTCTGACTTTTAAAGGACAGTATGCAAAATAAAAAATTTAAAGCATACCAAGTTCTTAGTTGTTCATTTGAAAATATTTCCCAGCTGCAAAGTAGCCGCCAAGTAACTACCATGAATGGATTAATGAATTGAAATACCATCTTAGATTCATAATGAATGTCTACAGGAGTGAGTTTAACATTTAAAATTGCTTTAGTGTTTGTCAGTCAACTATTTTAATTGTTGCAGTTTTATAACGGAAGAGCATTTGCCTTTGAAGTCAAATTTGGGTTAGAAAATTCTGTTCTGTCACTTGCAGATCATGTGACCTTGAACAAGCTGTCTAAACCTCAATCTTTTGGTTTCTAACTCTGTAAAATAAAAACTACAATCCCTTCCTCTGGCCAGGCCTTTGTGAAGATTTAATAAGATGATGACACACTAGCAATGCTGTTTGTGTTAATTATTCCCACCACTCTCTGGTGTGTGTGCTCATTTTGTACAGACAATCATTTCCTGTTTCATGCTTATAGGATTTATTCCCAGGGAAAGAGAAAATATGTAATAATTGTGAAAATTCAAACCAGTGAATTTTATAAATCATTCAATTTAGAGTTTATTCCCAGGGAAAGTGAAAATGTATAAAAATGATGAAAAATTGAACTTGGTGCATTTTATAACTTAGTCAGTCTGGTAGTAAGAGTAGTGATGAATGAAAACAATGTGCTATAAAGAATTCTGGAGACTAAATGTGAACATCTAATTTATTCTTTAGCTGATTCTCCTTTCTAAGGGGCCTTGTAAATTTCCCAGTTTTCAGATGTATCTATTTATATATCCATCTATCTATAATGTTGTGAATATTAAATAAAATAAGAACACAAATGTCCTAGAAATCTCTGTATCAGGTTTTCAATGCTCAATAAATGTTGACCTTTTTCTTTGTAAACAATATGAAAATGACACTTTCTGGAGTAGATGGAAGCAGTTTCTATACTATAAAATAGAGTCATTTCAGGAAACAAGAAACTATTTTTTAGCTGTGTCAGTCATCTGGCCCAAAGGACATTAGTGGAAATAGTGATAACTGTTTTAGTCTAGTCCAAACTTGAGCCAGAATGAGTTGAAAACATTTCTACCTGGATTAACTCCTTCATGTCCTCACAGGTCATGCAGCCATTGGTACCATGCCCCTTTTCATCACAGGATCAAAATGGTAACTTCCAGAACTAGGATTTTTTATAATGGCCTCCAAAGATTCTAATAGGAATACCTTAACCTAACTACAAATGTGTTGTCAGCGGTTCAGACAGGAGCAAGTATAAATGACTTTTCCTAGATAATGCATATATATATATGTGGAGAAACAAAGAATGGTGACTTCCACCAAGACAAAAAGGTGCATTTCTCCCATCTTACCTCACTGTTGAGCGCAGGTACTGATAGCCGGAGGACCCACCAGTGCCACCTTTGCTGCCCAGCATTCTGTGCACCATGCACACATGGTTATCTAGGCAAACACACAAATTAACTCCATGGATATTTTTCTGCCATTAGTTCCACAATATTCTGAATACAAGAGATTGGTAATGATTGTTGCTTCTGAGAAAAGGCTCACACTTTATCACTTAGCCATATGGAAGGTTCATGTGTGAGAGCCAGATGAGACTGGTAGGTTGCCTGGCACCCCACTTGGTTCAGGCTACATGCATTTGACTCCACCTATCATTACATTTATCCTGGGAACACAACAGGGTGGAGCAGGGACACATTATGACTTATGAGCCCTCACCACTTTTGTCTTTATGGGTTCCTTCCTCTATGAAAAAAAACTATCAAAATAATATTTTAAGATTGTATTGGCATAAAGATGAATAATTATTATCTATTAAAACATTTTCTTTTACCTAAAGTTCATTTTTTCCTTCTGATTATCAAATAGAACATTTTCATGAGCCCTGCAGGCCCTAGGCATTGTGCCTGCTATGGATAAATTGGACCTGGAAGAGATTAATTGTCAAGGTGATTTTTTACAAAAACAACTCGTTCACACACAAAGGAGGAAAGAAAAGAGAAAGAGGGAAGGAGGGCAGACAGAAGAAGAAACGGTTGGTAAAGCAACAGAATGGGGGAGAAGGAGCTTTAGGGTTGAGGGGAGGACTTACATCTCCATTTGGTCATGAGAGTGTCTATGTCCATAAGAGAAGTCAGCAACTGAAAAGGGACCTGGAATCGAGGCTCTTCCCTAAAGGAAAAATGAGAAGGAAAAGAGATCTAGTCAAGCAAATCCAGTGTGTTAGGAAGAGCTTGAATTATACGATCTGTTGGCCCTGGAAACAAATGTCAACTTTGCTTCTTAAGAGCTATGGCAGCTCTGGATTACTCTCTCAGTCTTAGTCTCTTCATCTCAAAAATGGGGATACTACCACTCAGCTTGGAGCATTGGTTTGAAGAGTCTAGAATATCGCATGTAATATACATGAAGTAACAAGTCAGAGTCACACCTAACGTCGATTCTCATTAAAAGGCAGACACATACATAGTCTCAGGTTTTCCAACTGATGATAGTCAAAATCTTCTAGGCAAAGATATTAAAACAAAAAAGCAAAGACTGCTTTTTATTTCCTCTAATATATTTTTTTCCCTTTTTATAATCTAATCCTTCAACACTCTCAGTACATTTTCTGCTTGGGATACATAAGCTTGAGTGGCATACGTTTAGTAAGAGTTTAGGAAAAGAGTCAAAAGACTTTATTTATGTTGCCAGTCTGAAGAAACAGATTTAAGAGGATTAAAAAATTAAATAAATACAAGTAAGTAAGACATCCAGTAAACATAGGGGTTTTTTTGTTTGTTTGTTTTTTGCTTTCCGCTAGTGTGCTATCCATTGTTCTGACACATTTAATTCATGAAACGTGAAGATGAGAACTTCATATGCGTGAAGTAAGAGTACGTGGATATTTAAGGGACACTTGGAATGCTTTAGACATGAAGACAGTTTTACTTGAAATTGCTGAATCAGTAGAACAGCAGTTTATAAAGTGTTTTCACCTTATCCATTCTTTTTTCATTTTATAAAACAGGAATAACTCCACGACATTGTGTAATGACAGAAGACAGTTCATGACTGAGTTCCTGAGATAGATTAAAGTTTGGCCCTTTAGGACATCACTTGATATTAAGTATGTTAATACTTCGTAGAATTTAATAAAAAGGACATTTGATTAATTTGTGTGTGTATGTGCGTGTTGTAATCTACTCGAGATAAAGTTATACTCTTACTATTTAAAATTTTTTAAAAACTCATGGAACTTCACAATTAATTATTTTCTAAGTTTTCCCCCAAAACTAAATGACTTTTTAAAACTATGCTTGCAATTTATAACCTTTATACTTGATATATTATCTATATCCACTCCTCAATTTTAACTTATACTTCTCTTCGGATTTGCTTTTACCTGTAAAAATATATCATCAAGGCTCCCTGAAGCGCTCTGTATGACAGTCGTCTTTCACCTGCAAGATGCGTAGCAAGTTTTAATTTAATAGGTAATTTAGGGCAGTCTTATATTACTTTGGCATCATCACCTTAAATAAAGTGTTATATGTTTTTTGAAAACAATGTAAGCATTAGTTTAAATTTTTTACCCCATAGCTTGAATTTGGAAAACTCTCATTTAAAACCTTATTTTAATATTAGATTTTAAAAGACAAATTAAATATATGTATATATACACACACACACACATACATATATATATATATATACACATTTTAAATTCTCAAAACCTTTAAATGTCATGTTAGGAAAACCTAATATGGAAACTACTTAGCTTTGATGATAGAACGTATTTTTCAAGTAAAATAGTATGATGACTGACTTGTTAAAAAATTAAGATTTATTCCAAGTTTAATTTGAAAGTAGTTTTTTCTAATTCACTTTAAATTACTTCAAAACACTTGGCTTCAAGGAGCACAACCATATATAAAATCTCATATGTGTGCTCTAAGGAAAGGCTTTGCTCTATCTGCAGAAAAACAAGATTTTGCCAATCTTTACTAAGGGTTTATAGAAAACTGAGGCCAATAACCTTGAAGCTTATAGAATTTAATACTAATTTCATAGACTGCTATGCCTTGTACTTGCATTACAAAAATTAATATTTACTTCTATTCTGCCTATTTCCAAAAGGTTCCAAATAAAAATGAACAGAAAATTTTCAAATAGATAAAAGAGTTAAGTAATGAAAATCTTAACCATACTGGTCAAGTAGTTTCAGAAAATAATACCTCAATATTAATTATGCTAGAAGTCTAAACGTGTGCTTTTCCAGGCCTGTTTGGGAAATTTATTTCCTCTGCCAAGCCACCCTAGCCGTCACAATAGAGTTATTCCTCTCTCTCCTACTGCTACTGTAGTATGTACAACTACACTGCTTGTTTTTGTGTCTGTTCCTACTATTCTGTGAACTACTTGAAAAACCATATTCAATTTATCTTGATATCTCTCATGTCTGACACATATTATGAAAGTTTCTACTAATGTCTTTGAGATAAACTGGACATTTAAACCTGTTAACATAGGGTTATCATTGATAACATTAACCCAATTCTTGTATCTGAATGAAATATCAATTTTCATTTTATTTCCTCCAAGTGAGGTTTGATATTTTGATCTGCACAGGTTGCAGGCAAACAATCCTTAGAATAAAAATACTTAGCTTTACTAAGGAGATGTTCATGACGTTTCTCATCAAATAAAGAGAGTAACACCTCTTTTTGTTTTTGAAATTCAGCCATTTGTTCCTTTTTTTCCTCTGACTCTTCTTTAGCCTTTGGGGAAAAATACTGTATTAATATTCCCAAAAGAGAGAATAGATTTTTACTTTTAGAAAACGTTGCTAGTGAGATATAGACTTGCCCGTTGCAGAAAGGATGTACTTGAAATATTTACCATATCATCTAATGCTACAACTTGGAAATTACAGCTTATGAGAGAAATCTTCCTCACACTTACTGGTTCTATTCTTTTATTTAAGTTTAAATGATTTGTTAATCTCAAATATTTTCTTCACAAATATCATAAGGAAAGAACTCAGATGGGCAAACTGGAGGTAACCACAAGAGGTCAATAATAGTGATCGAATTTTAAACAGCAATTATTTAACACAGGAAGTAAAGTAATTCCACTTAGGAAAAGTTAAGAATTCCTAGTCAGAAAAACTATTAACTTTAGTGAAATTCTCTATTTAGTATTGTATTCTGTAAATACAATTTCTTAGATTTTTCACTCTATATTTTTACTTATTTGATATCTACTGATTTGTTTAAAGAAATCCTTATTTTTTTGCCTACAACACATGCTCTACTTACAACTCAATTACTTGGCTTGAGTCAGAGCAAAAATATGTTAAGCCAATTATCTTCAATTCTTCAGAACAACCACACTGTGTGGTAAGAACTTGTATGCATATTATTGTCAATTAATTACTCAAATATTCAGTAAATGTCAAACAAAGGTGATAGAAATAAAATTATGAGCAAAAATTGAGTCCCCTGATCTCATGGACTTTATTATCTGGTGGGAATAAGACATTAAGCAAATAGTCACCACTGCGTTAAACTGCAACCAGGGCCAGTGGTATCCAGGAGCAGTATAGTGCCATTAACAACTTACAGTGGTAGGGCGGTCAGGAAAGACCTTCCTGAAGAAGTTTTCCTTGAGCCAAGACCTGAAGCATAGGAAGGAGTTCCCTGGGGAAGAACATTCCAAGTCCAGTGATAACATATAAAAGACTCTATGGTAGGATAGTCAAAGAACTAAATTCAGCTTAAAGGAAATTCAGTATGATTGTGCCACGTGAGATCATGAAAAACCCTGTAAACTATGTTAAGAATTTTTATCTTTATCATAAAAACAATGTGGAGACATAAAAGGGTTTTATGCAAAAGGGAAATGTAATCAGATATGCATTTTGAAAAGATCGCTCAAATTGCTGTTTGGAAAATAAATTGGAATGGAGCCATATGTGAGAGGCACATAGAATAGTTGAGAGAATATTCCTTTAGTCCAGGTGGAGAACTATGGCAGTTTGCACTTGACTGATGGTGGTAGATTAAAAACAAATATTTCAGAGCTATTTACACGGTAAAATTGGTAGGATTTGGTGATAACTTGAAGAAGTGGTTGAGGAAGAGGGAGGTGCCAAGGATCAATTGTACATGTCTGACTTGACAAACTAGATGGCTTATAGGAGAAAAACTTCTTCAACTTGGAAAGAAGAAGTTGAACAATAGTGGAAGGAGGGGAAATTTTTTTACGTTTGGTTTTATCAGCCTGTTTTTGAAAGGACCAGGAGGAAATATAAAGTAGGGTGTGCAATATATGATCAGAAATTTAAGGAGCTATCTAAGCTAGAGATGAACTTACGAGAATTATTGGTGGATGAGTAGATATTGAAGCAGTGGGTATAAATGAGTTCATCTAGTGAAAGACCACAGAGACAATACAAAACATCTAAGCCAATGCATTACAAAACCCCACCATTTATTGTTCTGAGAGAGAAAAATGAGCCAATAAAGGAAATAGAGAAATAAGGGCCAGAGAATTAGATGAAGACAGAATGTTGTATGCCAAATCCAAGAGAGAAAAATGTTCAAGAAAGAGTAAGTAGTCATTAGTATTGAATGCCACTGGGAGGTCAAGCAAAATGAAGATAATAAATGGCCATTGGATTTATATACAGGAAAGCCATTTGTGAATCATGGGGCAAAAGACAGATTGGATTGGGTTGAGGATTAGAAGAGGGACAAAGAAATAATTATGCTAACTACTGTCCAGCCTTGGTGGTCTAGTGGTTAATAATCTGCTGCCCAGATTCCTTTCTGACAGGGAACCACACCTGTCCATCGGTTGTCAAACTGTGGCTGCTGCCATGTTGCTGTGATGCTGAAAGCTATGGCTCTGGTATTTCAAATACCAGCAGGGTCACCCATGGTGGACAGGTTTCAGCAGAACTTCCAGACTAGACAGACTAGGAAGAAGGACCTGGCCACCCACTTCCAAAAAAATTGGCCATCAAAACCTTATGAATAGCAATGGAGCATTGTCTTTTATAGCGCCAGAAGATGAGAGGGTGGCTCAAGAAGACCTAGCAGGGTTCCACTCTGCTGTACACAGGGTCACTAGGAGCCGGAATCAGCTAGATGACACTAACAACAACAAACTGTTCTAAATACTTTACAAATATTAAGCTACCTTAATGCTCATAATAATTCTATGAGATAGATACTCTTATTTTCTATTTTACCAACGACGAAAGTGAGGCAGAAAGAGGATAACTAACAGAAGAAGTTCAATGTCTCACAGTTATTAAGAGGTGGAGGTGAGATTTGAACACATGCAGTGTGACTTCAAAGTCCTTGCTTTAAGCACTACCTGACACAGCCTCTCAAGACAGAGAATTGAAACAACTCTTTCAAGAAATTTAATCATGAAGAGAGGATGAGGGGCTTGTAACTTGAGGGAAATGAGGAATCAACAGTATTTTTTTTTTTTTTTTTGGTAAGGAAGATTGTCCCTGAGCTAACCTCTGTGCCAATCTTCCTCTATTTTCTGCGTGGGACACCACCACAGCATGGCTTGATGAACAGTGTGTGGGTCCACGCCTGATATACGAATCCACGAACCCCGGGCCACTGAAGCGGAGTGCATGAACTTAACCACTATGCCACCAGAACGGCTTCAACAGTATTTTTTCAAGTGAGAGAAACTTGATATCATCTGAGAGCCAACAGGAAGGACCTAGCAAATATATATATAAAAGCAAAGGGAAAATTATATGGCTAAATATATTTGGTTAACTGGTCTTTTGTGTGCCTACTTCTGTCTAGAATTAGTCATAATAAATTTTCAACAGAAATAAAAAGTCTATTAATCTCATCTATTTAACACAGACAAAATCTTATCTACAATGAACTCAATTTAATATGATTTATTGCACATAAATAAAATCAATCATGTAATATATTTCAAGAAAATGCATTTGGAAAGAAAAATGTAAGAAAAATGAGGTTAAGAGAAAAGTAGAGAATTGTTAAAATAAAATTCCCAATGCTTTTTCTGTAGTAAACTTATATTTACTTAAGGCATCATAAATACCTGAAGTTTTGTGAATTCTTCTTCCAGCCCTTTGACAATATTTTCTTCAAACTTTCCCCAGAAGTTAAATCCATGTGGCTCTAGACCTGGTGTTCTTTCCAGCCATGCCTTAAGAAAATATTATTTTTAAGTGAATACGTTGCAAAATTTAATATATGTAAAATATGTTGTAACTAACATTTATGAACTTGAAACAGGAAATCTTCAGTTTTGAGAAAGATATGTCATAAGTTTTTCATTTGTAACTATTTTCTCTTTCCCTTCAATTTCTTCATTTACAAAATACCAGTCTCTGACGTTTTACTTTCTTAATCTTTAAGGCTATCATATTAATAATGTTTACTCTTAATTAAGACATATTATTATAGAAATCTCAATTTTGTTCTGTAAATCTATACACATACCTAAACATTGTTTTAATGAAGTCTTCTGCTTTATCTTCAAAATACTTTATGTCTTAGGAACTGAAGGAATTATGGCATGTATAAGACATGATTTCTTCTAACTGCAAGAGCATGGTATACTTAGCAACTTTGAAATCAACTGACTACCCAATTATTTTACAATTTCACAAGACTTTTAAATCCAGAAATAAAATTGAATTCATGCATCTCTATGGGTTCTCATTTAACCTATTCTTGGTTTTGAAATTAGCTTTGTGATTCTTTCGCTCCCTATCTTTATAAGCCTTTATATGGCATTATATATAATATATTAACCTAAATCCACATTTACAATACTCACAGGATTAGTGAGCAGAGTATAATTCACTAAAAGAAAAGTTTAATTTGCAAAAGAAATGCTTTGTGGAGGAAATCAAGGCTACACAATCCTTATTTAATAATTTATTTATGAAGAAACAAATTAATAATTCCTCAAGACTATTTATAAACCCCTGGGGAATTAAGATATGAAGAGAAATAATTCCGAAGAGTACACTCTTGGTAATTTAGTTTAATTGAGAAAAATACACAACTTGTGGAACTTTCCAATTATGGAATATTTTAAAGAAATAAAGCTCAATGAATAACTACACTCAGTTTAAAAATCAGCTAATTAAATGTTGCTGAATAGGAATGTTTAAAAAATTCATTTTAATAAGATCAGGAGGTTATTAAATATTAACGTATCATTGACTATATAAATATTTCTGAAATTCTCAAGAGTTCTTAATATTTTAAATATATTTAAATTAGTTGAATTTGTGAGTTTAAGTATTTTTATAAATTCTTTTCCGTTTTTATTTCCAATAAATGAGACCCAATTTTGATACGAGTTTTAAAATTCTGATCTAGCAAAAGCTAAATTAACAAGATGTATTGAGTAAGATTTTCAAAATAGTATTTGAGCATGTACCTCCAATAGCTGCAGAAGTGTCTTTTCCTGCTCAGACTTGAGTAGCAGTTCATTATCTTCTCCTTTGAAGTTATCGCGGTAATGTCTTCTGTTATAAGAGACTCGCAAACTCGGAAGAACACCGATCTTGTTTTCCAGTAGCCGGAACTGCAGACTCTGGAAGCCTGATGCTGGAGATAAGTACTCTCTTTGAGAATAAATGGGGGAAGGGAAGAGAAGAAACAGGAAGTGATGGGTTGAATTTGCAAATCACTGCAATGATTTCTGTTGTGAGAGGTTGTCAGTAAAACAAGATATCACCAAGAACACAGACACACAACTACCTAGAGTTGGACTACAATTTAGACCGTTCTGGAATAAGGAAAACGAGCTACTTAAACATTATTGTCACTGTGAGTCAATCAATTTAAAGTTGGAATGTTTGTATAGTTTGTGAAATAGCATATGTGTGTGTGTACGTGTGTGTACTAAGTCTTTTCCTAAGATAAAGACAGGTGGACATTGAGCAATATTTTCTATTCAACAGCGCTAAAAGATTCTTTATAAATATTATTCAATCCCTCCTAAAAATTACATTCCTGGATATTAGCATTAATTTCACTACCTCATATTATTATGAGCACCAGTGAAACTCTACAAGTAAAATGAATGTGATGTTGCCTAGCACAAAATAGGCAATCAAAAATGTTACTACTCCCACCCCACACAACCACCCAATCTCTTACATCCTTGTAAATTTCCTTCATCTAATTTGTACTAAGACTTCAACTTTTTAAAGCCACCACAAAGGAATTCTACTACTTTTCCTTTGGTTGTCAAACATGTTGGAGACACTGTCTATTACATCATTGAACACACCTGATGTTCTTAAGAACATTTCTTCTCAAATTTTGGTATGAAAAATGCTTTTTTTGATATATATATGGCTTTGGCTGCCTGGAAATGTAGAGCTAAAATTTATAGTTCAATCCATAACTTATACTGACTCTTTTGGTGACATGCTTCCTTACACATCACTCCTATTTCCCTTTATTTTTAGTTTTTAATTTCTTTAAAATTTAGTTACCTGTATTATATCAGCCATTTTAGCCATTTTGGTAAGTTGTCTAAAATCCTTTTTGGATAAAAACAGGGCAGACAATGATGAACTGAAATTAATTGGTCATATTATGTTTGTATGTAAAAGTGAGTGATGAAATGTTTTTAGTAACTTAAATTCTTTGTGATTAAGACTCTCAAGTGCTTATACTGACAAAATGTCAGTAGAACAGGCTCCTCGTGTCACACAACACATATTCTCCTTTTACCCCAACAGAATAAGAAGGTAAACCCACTGCATTATTACAAAGCCACAGGTGCACACCTGAAGTCGTTGAAGTCCAAGGGTGTCATCGTTTCCAGAATGGAAAACTGCTGGACCAGTAGTTTAAGGATCACCACCACTCGGTGCATCCGAGTAACAACCTTAAGCATATTCCTTTCATTCCTGACCTGATGGTTAGGAAATGAAACACTGAGTAATCAATTCTAATTTTTAGAAGATACAAAATAGACTATAAATAACAATGCATTCTTATTCCTTTCATCTCTTTTTTAATGCAGAACATTGGAACTAAAATTTGCCATAAGTATATGTCGAATTAATAGCAACTCTGAATTGTGTGCAAGGAATGTCTGCAAAATCAGAATCGTTTTTCTTCCTTTAAAAATAGAAAACTATAGGGGCTGGCCCCATGGTTTAGCGGTTAAGTGAGCGCGCTCCGCTACTGGCGGCCTGGGTTTGGATCCCGGGCGCACACCGACGCACCTCTTGTCTAGCCATGCTGAGGCCCGGTCCCACATACAGCAACTAGAAGGATGTGCAGCTATGACATACAACTATCTAGTGGGGCTTTGGGGAAAAAAAGGAGGAGGATTGTCAATAGATGTTATCTCAGAGCCGGGCTTCCTCAGCAAAAAGAGGAGGATTGGCATGGATGTTAGCTCAGGGCTGATCTTCCTCACAAAAATAAAAATAAAAATAGAAAACTATATGGAAACAAGGTAGAAGTAAATTCTGGAACACAGCTCCCGCTGATTTCAAAGCAAATTTCTCTCAGTTTTGCTTCAAAGAATAAAGTTCAAGGAAACGTGGAAGCTTCTGGGTGAAGATTAAGCAACACTTAGACAAATCTGCTCTTCGCTGAGGGTCAAAGTTGCCATTGACATCAGCAGGAATTGTTGTCACATATATAAGAAGAGAATGGTCTGTGTATGGATGCCTTTCTTTTCCAGCCCCTTTTGGAGCAAAGGCTCAGAGGTAGAGGACCTAAGGGAGTGTCCTGTGTCGGGAAGGCGTGTGGGAACAGAAAGCAGGCTGGGAGGCGGGAAAGTGCAGTTCAGATTTCTGCAATCACCCGACGCTCTGTTCTGCTCTTGATCCTCCTGGCCCTTTTCTTCTGTATTTCCCGCCTTCTGGTCTCTTTCCTCTTTTTCTTCCTCCTGCTCCTCTTTTCCTACCTTCTCCTTCTCTTCCTGCTTCATTTTCCTCATTATTGTTCCTATCGTCCCACAGCAAATATTCATTAGAAATACAATTCTGGTACCTATTAATTAAAGAATCTATATTAGCTATCCTGGCAATCTACCATTGTTTATAACAACATTTTTTTAAGGGTAAAGAAAAATTTTTTTTTTTCAGTTCTAAACAAGGGGCCACAAATTGAAATTTTAAAGGCACTGGAAAATAGGACTAAACTCTTGTCCACTTGGAAAGCTTTTTTTTTAAGTAATAATTCCACCATTTGGTGTTAAAATTTTCTCATTAATAATATTTTCTACATTCCCCAAGAAAAATTAGGAAACTAATTTTGTGATATAATAACTCACATGGCCATTCTGAAAGATCTCTCGAACAGAATCTAATTCCCAGAGGATTTGCTTAAACCAGAGTTCATAAGCTGCAATCAGAAAACCATTGTCAATGGGAAAGTTATGGGAGCCTCTTTGACTATAATTATATGAAAAACACAGTAAACACATTGAAATAGAAATAAAAATGTAATTTAAACATCAATACATGCCAATATAGCCCTATTTTTTATACTATAAACAAATATTAGTTATAAAGTTATAGTACCCTCCTTTAATTGAATGTTTTAATACGCCAGGCATGTTATCTCTATGTTTTATATTTTTTATTTTTACATTGCTTTCTCTCAACAAATGTCTTGTTTAGATCTTTTAGGATATAGCACACAATCAAATTCTAACTTCCCGTATGGAAGCTGGAGGTATGGGGAGAAGCAAAGTAATACTCAACTTCATCTCTAAAATTAGAAACTGACATTCACTCACCTAATGAATATGACAAAGTTTTGGTTTCTAGGGGCTTAGAATATTATGAGGAGGAAAAGCTTATGAATAGTTTAAAACTTTGTCACATTCATCTATTTCCCTCAGATTCTAGCATAGTGTTTGGCATATGATAAACACTGGGTGATTATGTTATGAATAAATGAATTAAATAGCCAATGTAGTCATTAGTTCAGCATAGAAAATCAATAATCTCAGAGATGTCTAGTGCACTCTATTTGGTGCTATTGTGTGGGTAAAGGCTATGTTTCTGTACTAATTAGGGGAATAAATTACAACTTTAAGTTACATTTATGGAGATATCCAGGGATCTAATTTTCATTTTTGGACAAAGAGCAAATCAAATATTTCTTGATCAGTTTATGTATCTATTTTTCAGGTTTAACTTTGTGACTAGTCCCATGACCCATTGACTACATGTTGTAACTGAAGGATGGGAGAAGAATCTCCCTATCAAATAATGATGTATGCTTATTATGTGCTATACCTTAGGCTAAGGGCTTAAAGCATATTATCTCATTTTGTCTTCACAAGAACTCAGTGAATGAGAAGATACAGCAATTCTCTCCATTAAACAGATGGGGAAATGGAGAGAATTATTGGTCAAGAAACTTGACCAAGGTCACACAGTTTATAATGGTAGAGATGGGATTCTAAACAATTTTCTAATTCCAAATTGGTGCTACTCTGCTATGATTTCTCCCCTATTGATTTTGTCTTGGTATGAACCACCAACAAAAATGTCAACACAAAAACAGGAGAAGTAACACATTAAACCAATTGTTTTCTGAGATAGGCAGGAAGCTAGATATGAGCTGGGAGCAAGGTCACTCCACCAAGTGCAGTGTCCTAATTACCAGACAGTGGCTCTTTGGACTTGCAACACTCCCCCAACCCTGACTGAGAGTAGCCCCAAGCCTTATTATACCCTCATTTGCATTGCGGTTTTGAGCCCCCTTGTGGGGGATCAAGGCCATGACAGTTCCGGAGATGCCTACGTAAGCAAAAAATCTCCCCTTCCTGACATGGGGGTGGAGACAATGCCCCCATTGGCCCACCTTCCAAGACCCTTACCCGCCCCAGGACCTCATCTTCCATAGCCACTGACCACCAAAACTTCCAAGCAGTTGCTCACCTGGGGCCTGCCCGCCCCTCCCCTTGGGGGGTGTACTTTCGCTTTGCTAATAAATCCTCCTCTGTCAAAACTTCCACTGTGTGTCCCCTCTCAAATTCTTTTGTGTCTGTGGACCAAGAACCTGGGACCTCACCGCACCGATCTGACTGGTGCCGGTGACATTTCCATCTTTAATTCTTTTATCTCAGAGTTGATCATTTTAGCCAGTCAGTGAAGCAAACCACCATTTGAGGAAAAGACACAAAGAATTGGTAGGGAAAAGAAACATGTCTAGAAATTGGGCACTGACTGGCATGAGCCATTGGGCCCTTGTCAGCCAGAAGACAGTATTATGACACCAACAATCTTAGAGTAAATATTAATATTTGGGGGTTATAGAACATTTTAAGCTACATATTCATGAAATTTTGCACACAATTTCAAAGAGTTCAGAGACTGTCTAAACTCCCAAAGTCATGGACTCCTACGCTAAAAACCCCAGCCCAGAGGTTAGAAGTCTAGTGAAGATAAACACATATTTTAGACAAAATTTACATTTCTGTTCAGTACCAGATTTATATAGGATTATGTAAAATCACAATAAATTTGAGTGATCTCTTTCTTGGAAATAGTTTTTTAAAGTTCCAAGTTGAAAAATACTAATATCTTAGCTTGCAAATTCTTTGTGAATTTCAAAGGAGAGAAAGCCTCCTTGGACTTATGACAAAGCTCAAGTCCTACTGGATCACATTAGCAGTGTAGTAACACAAAGAAGACTGTTACAAATCCCAGAAAGAGGTTCTATGAGAATTTACCTGGCAGCAAAATATTTTCAAGCATTTCTGAGAAAGGTGATTCCTTTACCTTTCACCATCTTATCATTAAAAGAATTGTAGCTTTCCTCATTCTTGATGGGAAATGCCTGTGGGATAGTTAGTGTTCAAACTTTTGTGCAACTTACCTTGATGAGTTATGATAAAAAGATGTTCATCATGGATTTTATTTCCTTTTATTTCACTTTGAAGTTCCTGTGCATTCAAAACCTTTTCCAGCTTTAAACAAAAAAATAGAAAGACTGATTTTGTACAAACTTCCAGTTATAAGATGAATAAGTTGTGGGGATCTGATGTATAGCATAGTGATTATAGTTAATAATACTGTATTATACACTTGAAAGTTGCTAAGGGAGTAGTCTTAAGTGTTCTTACCACAAAAAAGAAATGGTAATTGTCTGATATGTTGGAGGTATTAGCTAATGTTATGGTGGTAATCATTTTGCAATATAAAGTGCATCAAATCAACATGTTGTACACCTTAAACTTACACAATCTTATATGTCAATTATATCTCAAAAAAGCTAAAAAAGACAAAAGAAAGACTGATTTTTAAGTTGCGGAATTTTTTTAACAACTTTCATAAGTAGAATACGACACCGAAAAAAATTCCCCCAAATTCCCAAATTCTTAGAAACCAATCTATTTTCTTTTAAACAATTAAGGAGTCTTGTCATAAAGAGTGAGCTGAATTTATGATTTTTATTCTTTTCAGAAGAAATTATATTCAGTAGGATTCTATCATAACAAATGCTACTACGACTCATTGAGAAGTCATATCCCTTCTATCTCTTGAAATGAGTATGATAAAAGCTTGATAACTTGGCTGACTGTGTATCTTCTTTTCTTTTATTCCCCCAAAGTGTCTATTCTATGAAGATCTTAACATTTTTATCAACTCATCCTTAGAAATCCATCAATGAAGGCATCAGCGGCTCTAAACATTTCGCTTCTTAAAAAATATAGAAGGCAAACAGGCTGAAATTTACCCCAGAATAATCTCCAAATATCTCCTTTGTTAACATCTCTCTTTTATTTATTAATGATTTCAAGAAAACATGTACCTTCAACATTTCTACTTTTTTATAAGAGATTTAAAAGAAAATTTTTTCTGGATACATTTGCAACTATCTAGGCTAGGATTTATTGACCATCTCTTGTGTATACAAGTTGTGCAATGCCTGTGAGCTACACTTTATCTTCTCATTTACAGTCTTTTGCACAGACTCTGCATTCTCTGCTTTTACGGTAACTCTGCCTGAGAGGTGAATTTTCACATATAAGACTCTTGAATTGTTCTATCAAAAGTTGAAAAAGCATACATTTATATGAATAGGGATATCTTTAGGTCCAGAAAACTATTTGGTGATTGAGAAAAAAAACGAAAACATGAAAATGTCACTTAGCAGAATTTAGTGCCTACTAATGGAAGCTAAACAGTGTAAGGACTCTGCCACTTACATGCAGGTAGTTCCCATAGATAAGTCCTCCTTTGCTGGCTCTATTCACACCCGTTTGTGATTTGTCTTCTTCACTGCCTTCTACAGATAGTTTTTTAAAAGTATATCTGCAGATTAAATAAGTGAGGAGAAAAAAATAGATCTTGAGAGAACACAGTAGCTAATAATATGAGTGACTGAAATTCTTATTGCTAATTTTTTTTAAAGTAGATTATTAAAGGAATAAAGTTGGCAGTTTTCAATGCTCTCAAAATTCAGAAATTAAAGTGTTCATTCTTGCCATTTCTAGGAGCCTGACCATACTTAGAATAGAGGTAAATACTCACCCAAAGTTGTTTCCTAGAAATGGGCACCCACTCATGGTGAAAGTGCACTGGCTGAGAAGCACCAAAGTTGGACTCTACAGCTGCCTTTTATGTATCCTGCCCACCCTGCACCAGCCAATCAGCTCTCTCCGCGTGCTGTTAGCAAGGCTCGCAGTTCAACTGGTACAGAAGCTGAACCTCTGTAAACTTTAGGGTGGATTTACATTGGGGATATTTTGTTTACTGGGAGAGTGAGTATTGAGCCAAACTGAATCATTTGACTTGCCAAGTTTCACTTTTATATCCAAAGTAGCAAACATTAAATCTAATCAATAGAAGCCAAGTTAAATAAAAAAGATATTTAACTATTCTATTCCAAAAACACATATGGTATAGTGTTAGGATATATCAGATGATGAGATTGTAAAAAGCAAATTTTTATTCTTTCAGTCTTAAACTTGGATACTCTTACAATGGCTAAGCCAAAAACTGAACTTGAATGTCTCCGGGGAAAGCAATTCATTATATAACAGAGGCAAGGTACATACTCAAATCCCATTTCCATCCCATCCTCACAGTTCTTTTGGCTTAAATCCCATCTAATAATCAGCAGCACATAGGCTGCTGTATTATATTGGAACTTAAATGGACATTATTAATTTACTGCTCACCTGTGGCATACCAATTATAGGACAGTGGGAGTCATCCATATTGGGGTACTTGGTCTGCAGAGAATTTAAAAACAATAATAATGTGCCCACAATTCTAAACAATGTCAGTGATAAAATATTCTTCTTAGAAAACATTATTTATTCACCTAAATTCTAAACAGTTGCTTTGAGGACTAGGGACCCAGGACAGAAGGTCCATCACTCCATCCTTAGGACACCAGTGCTACTCACTAAGAACCACACATAGACAGCACTTCCCTTTTATTTCACCCTCTAAAATGGTCAGTTTATGTGTAATTTAGCAAAGTAATTAGAAATCAGAAACTCCTTTTCTAGTCTTGGCTCTACCACTGACTAATTGTGTGATATGGGGAAAATTGCTTTAACTTCTATACATATCAACTTCCTCACCAAAAGAAATGAAGGTGTTCAACATTGATTGTAATTTCAAGTCCTGATCCACCCTAAAATCCTGACCTTATGACTCTATAATAAATTATAATGTTTAATGCAGTTTTACAGAAGATACATGAAAATGCTACACTATAAGAGAACTGGGAAATCATCCAAGTCACATCCTAAACTCCTCATATTCTCTTTGGGTTTTTTTTTTTTTTAAAGAGGTTAGTATTCTTTTTTTTTTTTTTTGGCAGGGAAAGATTTGCTCTGAGCATCTGCTGCCAATCTTCCTCTTTTTTTTTTCTTTTTTTTCCCCAAAGCCCCAGTGCATGGTTGTGTATCATAGTCGTAAGTCCTTCTAGTTCTTCTGTGTGAGCCACTGCCACAGCATGGCAACTGACAGACAAGTGATGTGGTTCTGTGACTGGGAACTGAACTCAGGCCACCGAAGTGGTGAGAGTGCTGAACTTGAACCACTAGGCCATCAGGGCTCGTTCCTCTTTGGGTTTTGACAGATGACTCTAGCACTTGCTTACACACTGGATAGGAATATGTCTGCAGAAGAGGCAGAATCACTGTTTCTAGTGCCCTGGCCTAGAGTGTCCAGAAGCAGAGAATGTTTAATAGTCCTTCTTTCTCCACTTGGTTGTTCAACCGGGTATGTGTTTACAAAGATTACAGCCAAATAATTTAGTCTACTCTCTTTAAGCCTTTTGGGCTGAGAAGTGCTCTTCATTTATTGGTCAACATACTAGTGAAAGAAATAAGGAAATGTTTTTTCACTATAAGTTAGAAAAATTACATATTTTAGGAGCAAAATAGTTTTCTTTCTTTTTAAAATAGCATTTTGCTTAGATCTTTTAAGTAGTGTTAATTCAGTGGTTTGCCCTAGCAACACAGGAACTGATTATACAAAGATTTGAATTTAGTGCACTAGAGAAATTGTAAGCTAATCTCAGCAAAGCTTGTTTCTGTCAGCCAGGAAAGTGACTATAATGACAACCCTCAAACACATATATTCCCATTAATTTTTTCAATAGAAGTATGAAATTTATGACTGGTTATATTCTGTTTGGCATCTTGCCAATACTTAACAGATTGGAGAAATTTTTCTTCATGATCAGCTTTAAAACTTCTATAATCAATATAGTATTTACTGCTCCCAATATATTTTATGTACTGGATATTTTACACAAACCTTATAGAAATATACTTTAACTCAAAGAATCAAATCTAATGGTGAGAACTTCAGGCATTATAGCAGGTAAATAGAGGAGAATATATGGATATAGGCAATGATTTACGGTAACCTTCTAAATTCATTATATGCCCATATGCTCATAACTTTGTGCACACATGGATTACAGAAGGAACGTTCTAGAGGCAAGATTGGCTGATGAACATGCTTAGAAGACAAATCATGACCAACTCTGAGCCTAAAAAAACCACCTAATTTGTTTTGGAAATAAAAATACTGAAAACTTGAGAGACAAAATAACCTTTTTTCCTCAGATATGTAATAAAACAATATGGAAAGAATATCAAAATAAATTAAGACTGTTAAAACCAAAGCTTATGTCTCTAGTTCTTTCCTCATGATTTCTAAGGTTAGAATATAGAGAAGAAGTGAGCCTGTGAGATAGAGGAAAGAGAAGAATTAGCAGGAACTGCTATTGTGCTAAATTTAGAAAGTGAATAGGAATTTACTTCATTCTTTCAGCCATCACAGCATTGGTTGCTAACAAATGACCACGCGTCATCTATTGTGGAATGTTACATTCTCTTCTTTTACGTAACCCTCAAAGCTTAGAACTGCTGCAATTCCCCCACCTCTACCCAGCAACCCAACTGTTCACATTTTTCCTACTCAAGGGTTAAAGGTTGTGGCAGACACAGAAACACTAAACCATGAGAGGAGTTCTCATAGATAAATGTTCCGGCATCCTGTTTTTCAAGAGATAATTCTGAAGGCACTCTGAACCCTTCTCCACATACCCTAGAGGAATCCCCAGTTGTTTACAGTGTTGACCTGAATAATGAATCTTTCTTTTGGCTTTTTCTCCTTCCCTTCCTGTCTCCCACTGCCTATTCCCTCATTACCTCTTCCTGGGAACACCTCTTAAATAAGTTCTCTCCCCACAAGTCCTTGTCTCAGGCTCTGCTCTGTGGAAAGCCAAATTCATATATAAATCTCTTATTCATCATGAGATCTAATACATTTAGTAAATCAAATAGTTACTTTCTGTTTTTCAAAATATTTTTCCTTTCTAAGCAAAGAAGGTTCTAGAAACATAGCAGCCATTCAATAAGTCATTCATTTACTTTGTGAATTACCATTTGTTGTATGAAGTAGTTTATCATTGTTGTTGTTTTGTTGGTGGTGGTGTTTGGTTTCATGCCCACAGATGGGAGTCTGAAGAGAATTAAAACCCCTTAGCTCCGATCTAGACATAGTCATACAAGCAGGAGCTTTTCAAAGCCTCTTTGACAAAACTCAGGAACGGCCATCAGTAAATAATGTTTGCTCAGTTGTAATTATTATGGCCGACCCAAGAAAAAGCATAAAAGAAACTATAAGGATGCCAATTTCAAGGGAAAGGGTACTCATGTTGCTAATCGTGGATCAGTTAAGGGATTATTTCCTTCCTCTGTGTGGATTAAAGATGATTAGTTTCCAAGGCATAAAGGAAAGAATTCTTGGGAGATGTGTTTATGTAAGGTTGCTCTAAGCCACCTTGTAGGTAAAGAAATAGTCGTGCCTCACACCAAAAGCATCACAAAGGAGCCAGGAACCAGGGGACCTTTTTTTACCTTGGGCTATGAAATGTGGTATTTGTGGAGAAATGCTTACAGATAAACTCATATTTTATTTCCTTATTCATTAAAAACCGTGAACATTATAAAAATAATTCCATTGAGATTTTAAGCGCAAGTTGTAGAAATTTTAAACACAAGGTTGTAAAAACTGTTTTTGTCCACTATTGGTGCTATAATTTGTAGTAAAACTCCAATGACATTTTAACATTCATTCTTTCCACATCAAACATCGTATATTGCCATTTAAAATTTTTCAAAAAATCATGCTTTTCATTTGATTATAATTATATAATAATGATAAAATAAAAATTATATATAATTATATAAAAATTATATAATTTCACAGAATTTTTAAAATTAATGTAATAATTGTAAACATGAAATTGTTGAAAATTATCTATATAGAATGAATTGTATAAAAACAAAGTTTGTGATTCAATCTCTATGTATTACATAATTTTAAAAAGTACTAAGAACAGATTTTATAATCAATCACATAAGATCAATAAAATGATCAAAAAGTTTAGGTACTGTGGCCATAATATACAGTTTGAATTATAGGAAATTGTTAGATTTGTAGGTCAGAATGGTTGAAATCAGCAATTTCACATGGTTCGTCTCAGTGCTTAAGACTAAACACAAAAATACTATTAAAGGGGGCTTTCAAGTCAGGAAAATTTGCAAAACTGCTCAAATAGACAAATCTGTTCTTTGAAAAGGAAGAGGTAAGCAAATTCTAATGCTACCAGGATAAACTTATATGTTTAAATGTTCAGCAAAGCCTGCATAACGCCTAAATTTATTAGCAGAGAACCCAAGAGTTCACACCCTTACAACAGACTGTGTAATTTTCAGATTTCATTTCCCATCACCTCCCACCCAAACATCTAATAAATCCAAAGCATAGAGACTAAGTTCTGGAATCTCCTAAATTCTCCATGCTGAAAGTGATCTCTTTGCCCCACTGCCTACTGCACTCTTACTCATTCTTTAAAACACATTTCAAATAGCACTTCGTCTGGCGTGCTTTCTATGATATCCCCAGGTGGGGTAATTTCTTCCTCCTCAGTGGTTCAACAAGACTTTTTTTGTATTTAAATTCTTGGTGCTTACCACATTTAATTGTTATCATTGAGTTTTGTGCCTGACTTGCTCACTAGGCTGTATTTCCTCCAGGAAAGTTTGTGTGTTCTTCCCTTGGAA